GCTCGTTATCATACACCATACACTGCTTGTTACAGTTTTACTCTGCGTGTTATTGTGTACTTTGAGCATGTGCATGTGTGCGTGTACGTGTGTGAGCTTCCAGGAGTTGTCGTTATCACCTCAGGTCAAAATCTGCTGGCATTTATCCCGATCTCCCCAGCTCAGTGAGCAGGCAGGCTGCGTGTGTGTGCTTTGTGTGTGTGTGTGTGCTTGCATGTGAGATCTCACATCAAAGGTTTTTGCTTGTTCCAAATGAATGTAAACATCACAGAGCAGGCATGTTTGGTGTGTGTGTGTTTGTGTGTGTGTGTTGCTGTTGCTGGGTGTACATGTGCTTTAAGTGAATCTTCTGTTAATTAAGAGCTCATTAGTGACACCAGATCTTTGACCAATTAGAGTGGCTTGCTAACTTGCTCACTTGTTTGTTTTCTAGTTGAGGCATTACCAAACACGTTGGTTTATTCATTCTTTTTCTTTTACACCCCGTCTTCTGGTTTATTTTCACTGTCTCTGGAGGATATGAAACATAAAAAATAGATTATGGTTGTTTTGCACTTTTATTCTTGGTTTTTCTTCTTGGCAAGGGAAAGTCGCCCAGCTCCCTCATGATGTTCGTGTGCATGTGTGTGAGAGGTTTTTATCTCCTCTGTGTTATCAAGCTGTTGTCATGGTCTTTTATTCATCTCATTAATAACAGCGCCCTTGAGGTGGAGCACCGCGACCCTGTCTTCATCGGCACACGCTAGTGAGCGCAAACATGCACACAGTTAAAGATGCAGACACACACACACACACACACACACACACATACACACAATTAACTGTGCAAGAGAGCCTGACAGCAGCTTCCTTTGAGGCAGCACCCATCTCAGCCTCCTGCATGAATACACAAAAGACTGTCTCCATATATCTACGGAATAGAAAAACGGCCAAACAGACACACACATGAGTGCCAGCAGCTTCTCCACCCACTAAAAACATATATACACATGACACCTCCTTAAAGATGTCCTACTTAAAGACTCAAAAGCAGAGCCTGAATTTTGGCTCCACCACAGCACAGTACAAGGCAGAGCCCACTCAGCATCTTAACCAAGGCAAAATAAAAAAAAAAACAAGGAACTAAGAAATAAGACGGAAGCAGAAGAAAAAGAAAGAAATTGGGAAGTAAGAGGGTTACATTAAGTGATACTGATCCACACATCTCTATCAGGCTTTCCGGGCTCGTTTTAGTCTATGCATAGTTTGGTCTAAACTTGAGCTATTTAAAAAAATGTTTGTTGTTAATTATTCTCTCTATTTTGTCTCCCTTTTGTTCAATGAAACTTCAGCAGCTCCCTGGATGGAGGGACAGCGTCTCTCACCACCACAACGTTCACAAGCAAGTCTGTTGAAGTCATCAATCTACTGCAATCTGACAAATTAGTATTTATTTGTGTTTGCAGAACTGCTGCTGCTGCTGTGCAAAGCAGGGAAAATATTTGGAGTGAAGTTATCAAATGTCGCGCGCACAGTACGGTAGTCTGAGACTGAGTGAGAAGTGTGTGTGTGTGTGTGTGTGTGTGTGTGTGCGTACGTGTGTGTGTTGTAGCCTACTATTTGTGTGTACGTTCATGTGACATCTGCCATAAATCACAAGCCACGGTGTCCTTGTAGCTCTAACACATATCATGGAAATCAATGCAGAGGTCAAGTCGAACAGAGCTACCCAACTCCTGAAAATGCCACAGCAGCCAATAAATATGGCAGGCTAATACACACGTCAACAACACGGCTTTTGAAATGTGTGCCCGTGTGTGAATGCATACATGAACAGAAACACAAATGTCACTGAGTGTGTGTCTATTCCTCATGCTAGTGACATATAAGCCAGGTTTGACCTGGTGATACTGTGAGATCTTAAAATATTAAAGGTGATATTCTACATTTTTCTTATTGTCAACAAATCCCATGAAACCAAAACCAAAACCAACAAATTATTGATCTTATAAGCATGCATTGTCTGTGTAGTTAAAGCCTGATACAGTAGCTTATTCCTTTGTGTAATGAGCTTCACTGTGGGTGACATGTTCGTTCATCGTGATAAACACTGCAGTGAATCCTACATACAAAAACAGTCCCCAAAAATAAACTGTCATAAAATTTTAATAATAAGCTGTTTTTATATTTCACCTAAACCTATTCCAAATACCTATTCCACCTATTCCAAAACCAGGCCAAGAAGCTGCTTTACAGGGTAAAACCAACAAGAGGAATATTTAAAGAGTTAAACATTTTTAAAAAACTCTAAGAACAACAGCACCTTCAACAGAATAAGCAATAAAACATAAAACACGGTAACTACAGTGCACAGCTGGTTTGGTAAATACTTTTTAAACAAGAAAGTATATAATTGTGACCCGTTTTTAAAGATTTATGTCTTCAGTTGCAACAAATGGGCGGACGGCCAAGTTCCAGAGACAGGGTAAAGAAGTGGAATTGAGAGTATTGATAGACAGACTGATGCAATGTTTTTTTTGTGGCTTTTGTTGAGAACAAGAAAAGCATAGAATATTACTCGCCTTATCTTTTAAACATAGTAAAAGAAGAAGGTTTTGTTTATTTGATGGCTTGCAAAGTCCCAGCAGCCTTGATGCCCCTTCTCCTGGGAATACGTTCAGATAAAAAAAAATAATAAATACTATTTGGATTTGCGATCATCTGACAAGACACTTGGGGAAAGCAGTAAACTGCTGTAATGTGTGTAACGCATTTCACCAGGGGGTGCAGAGAGTGGGAGATATCAAAATGCCACTTTCTTTTCCTTATGATACCATGTTAAGGTCATGGTGTGCTCTGGGTAACAACACGTGAATGTAGCGTGCGCACGCACAAACACACACACACACACACACACACACACACACACACACATTCTCTCTTTCTGTCATGTCTCCTATCTCACACTTTCTTTTTTCTTTCCCGTTGATGGTTTTATGAAAGATTGTCATGTAGATAATATGTCTCATCATTAACCTGATTTTCTATTGTTGCCTCTAATCTCCATTCCTGTCTCATCCTTACTCTGCTCCACTCTTTCTGCCCTGACTAATCACACAGTAATTGCTCCACATCGCACACACACACACACACACACACACACACAGACACACACATCCTTTACCCCTCACCCCCTACATTGTCAAATGATCATTGAGGAGCGAGCGTGTGGCTGACACTGTCTCCACAGCAACGGCAGTTAGGACCAGGAGGGGGCTGGGGCATCTTCCAGTGTGTGAATGACGAGAGCGCACACACACACACACACACACACACACATACACACACATACACACATATATATATATATAAACACAAACAGAACAGACAGGTGCACACAAGCACACACACACATAGACATATGAAGGTGCCAGCTATGGCAAAAACCCATTTACACACATGCACACAAACACACTCATGCACACACACGTTCAAAAGTACACACACTACACAGACATTAAGCGAGACCTAGGAAACTGAAAAAAATAGGATAAATGCGAGAGTGGAGGAAGGGGAGGGGTTGTTGCTTCCTGGAGAGATTTTCGTCTTCCTCCTCTCTCATTCACATGCACGCGCAGATTGAAAACACACAAATATACAAACAATGACAAAGCACCACATCATCATTCTGATTCAATCCTTTATAAAAGTAAACGTATAATTCAAAACCAGCATGAAAGATTAACAAGGCAAGGAACACTGTTTAATCTGCCCTCCGCCCTCTAATTCCCCCCATCAATCCCTCCTTCCCTGCTCCTCTCTCATTCCTCTCCCCCGTTCCCCTTTTGCCACAGCAGGGTTTTAAATCATTAAGCACAGTCTGGCCTGGGCAACTTAAAGGTCAGAGATCACGGTTAGGTGTTAGCTGAAAGACACAGTTCTGTTTCAAACATTATCATTCATGCCATATTCCTTTACTGCTTAAATGAGGAAAGTCCCAGTTTACACTCCTTTTCTTTCCGCCTCGTCTTGTCGTTGTCACTTCTTCACACTGCTTTATCACTGACCCCCCCCCCTCCTTTCTCTTTTCTGTGTCGTTCTGTCATCCTGCCATCAAGCATGTTTAAGCACCTTTCTCAGGTAACCTCACACCTGCCTCCACACTGACACTGGGCGCACTCTCTTGGATCTCACACAGTTGCCTTGAAGACAATAGATGTCCAGGCTGTTTGACTAATTGGAAGCAGCAGAAGCTCCACAGCAAAGGAGAGATCAACCACAAGCACAGAAACCCCACCAATCTGCCTCATGACACCAAACAGTTATTTTACAAATCTTTTAATAATTGATTAAAAGGCTGATTCATTTTTTATAATAATAAAATTCATAATTTTCTGTGTATCGGCTAATCGATTGCTGTAACTGTCTGCAGTCTACACTTATTCAGTCAAGCCTAAAATTAACAAAAGATCCATCTCAACAACATAGTAGAAAACTTGCAATATAACACACAATAGAAAAACTGTTCCAAAAAAATATTGAGTGTCCACAGATACTGTAGTCCACATTTTAGAAAATATCCAAATTGCAGCAATCGCATCAAAAAGAAAATACACAACTAAAGGCTTGCAATATATGTTTGGATCAATACTGTGAGCAAATGTTATTTTGACTGAGGAAATAAAAATGTTCCTGAAAGAAATATTAATACAACAACATCAGCTGCTGAGAAATCTTGGCGCTTAGCCCATTTTAAAATGTTTAAAATGATGAAAGTGAAAAATATTATTCCACACAGTGGCTTCAGTGTCTGTGACTGTTACAGAAGCACAAAGTAACTCTCCTTACCTGGCAGAAGACAGTAAATCAATATGACATCGCTCAAGCTATTAATTATGCCTTGGAAGAGGAATTGAATGAAAAGGGAAATTCACTCTCTGCAGCCATGTGACCAGCCTGCCGAAGGAAATACCGGCACAGAGTGTCCACAGAAAAATTAAATACTGAATAAAAATGCTTACCTGGGATGTAGTAGTGTGGAGTTTTTAATCCAAACATGGTCCTGGATCAGTCCTCTGCTGATTCAGAGAAGAAGAGCCTGGGTTGCAGGATGTAAGGAAGGGGCAGGGCAGGGGGATCGGGCTGTGGTTGGCCAGGTTAAGGAGCTCGTTGATGGTGTAAAGTCATCAGACGGCTCCCTGCTACGGCTCTCTGTGGGCCCTGTGGGTGCGAGCAGAGGAGGAGGAGGGGAGAGGTCAGCCTCTGTCTACCTCCCTCCCCTCCTCTTCACCCCCTGGACTGAGCGCAGAGAGGTGGAAGGAAACACAGGAAAACAGAGTGGGAAAAGAGACAGAGGGAAAGTGACAGAAAGAGAGGAGATGAGGAGGAGAATAAGAAAAAAAACAAGCTCCACAAGCTGAGGAAGGGTGACAGTGTGCTCATGCCATCTTTTACTGAGGAGATCGCCTGGAAGGGAGAGCCTCTGAGAGAGTTGGGAGGGTGGCAGGAAGGATAGAAAGAGGGGGGAGGGAGTCAGAGAAAGAGAGAGTCGAGGAAGAGAGGGTCTTCAGCCGGCGTTCTCTCCTTTTTATAGTCCTGCGCTTTGTAATCCCTTCCTTGTTATTCATTCAGCGGCCTCTTGCTCGTTTGCTGTATAATGATCTGTTTTTCTCTGCCTCTGTTCTCTTTTCTGTCTCTATTCTTGCTTTATCGTCCCTCCTTTGCCTCAGTCCCGCCACTGACTGCTCAGCTCAGCGAGCACAGAAGAGGAGGAGGAGAGAGGGAGAGAAAGGAGGGAGGGAGGAAGGAAAAAGAGGGGAGGAGAATCATAAGACGGATGAGTGGGGGAGAGATGAATGAGTTTATGTGAGTGTGGCGAGCACACGTGTCTGTGTGTGATTGTGTTAAATATGGAGAGAGGAGGAAGGATGATTTAGTTGGCTCGTGTGTGTGCGTGTGTGTGTGTGTGAGAGAGAGTAAAAAGAGATTGAGAGAAAGAGAAAGAGGGAGGAAGGGAGGCGATAGGGTGTTGATGCAGTTCTCATTATCAGTAGATTGGACTGGTGCCTGAGTGACAGCTGATTCATCATGGGAGAGAGAGGAAGGGAGAGTGAAGGGGTGGAAAAAGTGTGTGTGTGTGTGTGTGTGTGTGTGTGTGTGAGTGGGGTGGGGGTGAGGGTGGATGTGTGGGGGGGTTAAAACCTGCCCTTAAGCATCTGCTTCATTCAGATCTCCTCCTCCTCTTCCCTCTTTCCTCCTCTCCTCCTTTTCAGCCTCCAGTCCTGAAAATCAACAGTATGCTGCTTTGGATCGCAGACACGCTGGTGAATACCGTGATGTGATCAGCATAACTGTATCATCCACACACACACACACACACACACAGACTCACATGCTCCCATTGATTAGACAGGCCTCATATGTCTGACACATCACGTTAGCCGGGCTTTCCATCAATTACTGTCCACTCTTGGCGAGCTAGCGTCCCATCTACTGTCACTGAGACCCAATTCTATCACAGACATGTTAGAGCCAGAAATCGCTGCACCCCCACACACACACACCAGCATCAAACCGAAAATGATATGCCATTAGGAGCGATTATTTGAGGAGGTGGTTGTGTGGTGTTCTGCTCATTGGTGGCATAAAGTCAACGCTGGCGTGCTGGAACGTCTTTTTGCCGATCGTGGTTTCTGTCTGTGTGTCCATGGCAGCCCGGAGGAACCTGGCCGCTCTATCACTGTCTCCATCTCGACACAGTAGCCCTCATTTCTCTCTGTCACTTCCGCTCTCGCACACATGGTGCTTGCAGCCACATAGTCTGATGGTGCACACAAATTCAAGTATAAGAATGTAGATGGGCACAGGTATGTTTTTCAGTTATTTCACCCCTCTCTTCCCATTTCCTCTCAATGTCTACTTTCCCTCGTTTTCTTCTCCTTCATTTTTTCATCTCCCTTCTTTACATTTCTTCTCTTTTTGCTTTTTTTTTTATACCCCTCTCCCTCTTCTTTCTTTGTGAGTTGTGAGGAGGAAGGGTGCCGGTGATAAGATAGAGGGTCTCAAAGAGCTATCTATAACCCCATGTCTCACCGCTGAATCAATGAAGAGAGACTAGGACAGCTGTATACAGTACACACACACAAACACACACACACACACACGCGCGGATATAAACACCTACATTCATAAACAGAAGTGTAAACATGAGCAAGGACTTGCATTAAGAATGCATACACACACTAACAACAGCTGTGGGAGAAGTTTTGAAATATCAGCCGACCACAAACTGACATTGGGGGCAGACTGGAGAGAAGAGATAAAGAATACTAAGGAAACAGCAAAGAGGATGGAGGGGTGGGGGGCAAGAGGTGTGTGTGTGTGTGTGTGTGTGTGTGTGTGTGTGTGTGTGTGTGTGTGCGTGTGTGTGTGTGTGCGTGCGTGCGTGTGTGAGATGGGAGAGGACGGGTGTCAGAAAAAAAAGTTTTAAGTTTCTTGCATTTGGTGAATCAGATCAAACTATTATCCGTGTTCTTTTCTGCATGAACAGCCCAACCCACTGACGCTCTGTAAACAACCCTCACCTCTGGGTCGAGACAGTCGAGACCATTTGGCTTCAGGGGGTCACGCTCTGCTGCACGGAGCAGGGTCATCCAGGTCAAGAAAGGAGGAGGAGGAGGAGGAGGAGGAGGAGGGCGGACTAACACACAGCACGATCTGTGATGATTACAGACAACAGCCAATTATGAGCGTCCACCTCTGACCTGAACGCCTCGGAAACATGAGGGAATGCCTGTCACCGAGGGAGCAGTATAACTCAATCTATCACCAAACAATGAAGGATGAGAAGAGGAGGGAGAGACTTTAGAACATGGTCAATAAAAAAACAGCCTCACCCATCCCACAGCCCTCCTTTTCCTTATTGGAGCTCTTGTTCTGTCTTCAAAACAGACGCCTCCCCCCCCATCTTTTCCCTTCCCTGGCTCCTTCTCTATCATTTGCCTGTCAGATGCATGCTGTGGCAGAATAAGAGCTGACACCCCGGTCCCAGCAGCAACCAGGGGCTGCCATCCGCACATTTTCTCTCTCTGCCACATCCCCCTCCTCTCCCCTGCGTCCATGCAACACTCTAACTGCTGACAAGGAAACCACAGAAGATAACAAATAAAGGGAGTGAAGTGATGGGGGGGGGCTCCTCCATCTTGCTTTTATTCCTGCTCCCCCCCTCCTCATCTCAGCCCCAGAGAGGTCACTGACCCAGAGTGAGTGAGCCTCATTACCCAGTCACTCCGTATCCACCGTGTGTGTGTGTGTGTGTGTGTGTGTGTGTGTGTGTGTGTGTGTGTGTGTGTGTGTGTGGGGTGTGTGTGGGTGCGTGTAAATAGGCATGTGTTGACGGGACGAACGGTAAATAAATTTGTCATTCCGGAAGTCACTCTGGCAGTTTCAGAAAAGACAATTCAAGAGATGACAGAGGACGGGCGTCCTCGCAGAGAGGCACGAAAAGATTAAAAGACGGTATGAATCGAGGATGGGTGAGGATAAAGTGATGGGGAGACGAGGGGATGGCGGAGGGTGGAGGGGGTGGCTTGCGTTGGATCAAAGATAATTGTCAGCGGAAGTCATTATGCACATATTGTATGGGGAAACCAGAGGACGCTTTATTCAACGGATCCTTCTCATCATTTCTCCTCTCCTCTTCATCAGCCTCTCAGTGTCCTCCATACCATCAGGGATTTAATTGGACACTGATGGGTTCATTGTGACCCTGAGAGAGAGAGAGAAGTTAAAATTACTAGGATAGGAGATGTTGGGACATGAAACCGAACCCACACCACCATCAGCATTAGTTATAGAAAACCACTTACAAATGCTCCAAAAGGTGGCACAATCACAAGACCGTCTCCTCTCCTCCAAACTTACAACACAGCCTCAGACGCTCAGTAATAACACCCTTAACTGCAGTCTTATTGAGGTTTGGGTTGCTCTGGTGGATTAAGATTGGTTGTGTGTATTTGTGTGGTGCATACTGTACACGTGTAACGGTGTTAGTCCTTATGTGTGTGCAAAGCAAATGAGGATGAAATGGGAGGGAAGTATGCTGTGTTTCTTAAGCGAACCCCCCACTGCCCAAACCCCCTCCAAAAAACCCTAATTTCAGCCCCCAAGCTAAATTCAGGACTCAGGCTGTCTGGTGCCTGTCTGGCCACGAAACTATCCTAAACACGCCATTCATGCATGCTCACATGGACATGAATTATCAGAGTGCGGCCTGCTGAAGACCTGAATCAGCACACACATGCGTACACACACACACACACACAAACTCGGCTGACGTTGTCCCACCACAGCATGCAGAGCAGCATAAATCAAGACTGTTAATGGGCCTGAGCCACAGGGCTCCACTGTACTTCTCCACCCCTTCAAACTGTCTCTCACTCCCTCCTTCTCCCACTCTCCCTCTCACGCTCCTCCCTTTCTTTCTCAAGTGGCTTTATTGGCATGACTGCATATGTTGCCAAAGCGCATTAACACAAACTAAACAATCATAACAAACGTAAATGAACAAAACAAACAATAACAATACAAAAGGGTAGTGAGAACAAGAGGGGCCGTGGAAGGGAGGTAAGAGCAATATAACATATAAACATACAACAAATTAATTATGAATTAATAAACATTGATTATTAGCCATGTGGGACGGGGGGCTCACAAAGTTGTGGAGCTCATGGCAGGCTTGCTTGCTCTACAGCAGTCCTCCCTCACTCACAGTCAGACCGAAAGTCTCTCTAAGAAGTCACTTAAATAGAGGAACTTTGGGAGTGTTTGTCCCGTTTTGTCCAGTCTTGTTGATTTTTCTCTCTCTCTCTCTCTCTCTCTCTCTCTCTCTCTCTCTCTCTCGTCCATCTGTCCAATTGCAAGTTGAGCAGAGCACAGTGACACAGATACTGAGTGGGAAATTAGCCTGCTGCTGTGACATTCAGTCTGAGTGTGTGTTGGTGTGTGTGTGTGTGTGTGTGTGTGTGTGTGTGTGTGTGTGTGTGTGTCTTCCGTTAGTATTCATGTAAATATACATAAAGCAGTGCATATGTATGTCGCCATATGTGTATACATACATACACCATGTATATCTGATTTTCTGGTAAGGAGTGCATTCACTACTGCAGTCATCAGATCTTGACCCAGCTGAACTTATATGAGCGCTTCTGGACAAATGTGACTGACTGCAATATCCACCACCATCTTTACCAAAACAACAAACGAGTGAATATCTTTTGGAAGAATGGGGTTCTGGCGGCTTTTTAGCTGTAATGTCTGCTGTCTAATAACTTCTACACCCTTTTTTCCTCTCTGTCCTACTGTTATTACAGACATGTCTAAACTAGTCGCGGCCCCTCCATTCATCCATAGAATTGTCACTTCTGTCGAGCCTTGACCTTTAACCCACATTGACTGTTGTTTCTTAAATAACTGTTCTTATCTAGTGACATAGACAATATATTGTTGAATAAGGCTCTGTTCCTATCTATCTATCTATCTATCTATCTATCTATCTATATCCATCCACCCATCCATCCATCTAGTGGGAAATTAGCCTGCTGCTATGACATTGGTCTTCAGCGTGTTGTGTGATGAGATGAGATTTGTGTTTCAGTGCTTGCCTTTGTTTGGCCCCGCTCTGTCTGCCCAGATGGTGATATCTAGTGATTATCTCTGCATGTATCTCCTCGTCCATCCTGCAGCCCTTCTGGGTCAGTCAGGTCCCATCCAGTCAGTGCCACCCTCCACGATGCCACATCGATTACACTCCCCCGGGAAACACACGCCCACATGGCCAGGATCACATCAGCAAGGCACCACAGAACAGTTTTGAACTTCTCTCAGCACATTTTCATGCCCTGGCCAAAGCACCGAGGTGACCCCTGACCTGGCCCTGGGACCTCTTACCCTACGTCTGTCCCTTCTGATGCTTTCTGACCTCAAGGATTATAAATCACTGCCTCAGAAATAGACTGAAATTTTGCCTTTTTGAAATTCAATCAGAATCTCTCTCTAAAAAATTTAATTAATATATCTTACGTTCACATCTAATTCTTTTGAGGAGCAATCGAGGAAGTGAGAGCACAAAGTGGCATAAGAAGAGAGAGGGGAATAGGTAATACTGATGTCTAATAATGCTCTTGCTCATGCAGCATGTGTTTGATACTTTGTAGTCACATTAGTAATGAATAGTGATATATGAAGTTGTGAATCATAACAAATAACGGGGCCAACAGCTCTAAATACTGTAGTATTTTACATTTTTAGGTTCCAGCTTCTGAAATGTGAGGTTTGAATGCTTTTCTTTATCATATATGATAGTAAACCAAATATCTTTGGGTTTTCAACCATTGGTTGAATAAAATGAGATATCTGAAGACGTCACCTTTGAGCATTTTTCACTGTTTTCTGACCAAACAATGAATGATTAATAGAGAAAGTAATGAGCAGATTAATCAACAATGAAATCAATCGTTATTTCCAGACCTAGTAATTACAAGTGTACAAATGAAGGAGGGAGACTCTGACTCTGTCTCTGCGGTGATTTTCTTCACTTTCCTCATTGCTTTTAGGACCTAACATCCATGTTGAGCCACAGTGTGATCATGCATTATCAATCAATCATGCATCTAACTTACTGTAAATTTCAGACCGATGTGTTAAACCGATCCATCATCTTGGTTGTACTGTGTCGTGATTTTCTGCAAATCACAGCTCTGCCTTCTGGGGTATCTGGCGTGCTGGTGTGCGCAACCGGTGTTGTCACTTGTCAGTCAGCTGTCACTTAATATCTTGCGCTGCTGAATTAAAACACACAGGAAAAGACTGCGGAGATTTGTTTTTTCATTTTATCAAGACAACAGATATTCAGATGTTTCATATTCCTTGGCTCTAGAAGGAATTCCTGGCAGTCGGCAAGGATTATTCTAGCTCCACTGCCAACACACACCTACCCTCACATGTCCGCAGACACACACACATTCACATGCACATTACCTGGGGGGTCTGAGCTACCCCTCCACAGGCCTTCACCCCACATGCTCATCTCAATTAATCACCCAACAAAACAGATGTCAGGAACAAAGGAATGATCTCCAGGCCTGTAGGGTAAAAGAGGGAGGAGGAGAGGGAGGAAAAATGAAAGGATGGCAGGAGAACTATAGGAAAAAGGAGAGGGAAGTGTCAGTGCTTTTAGAGCTGGGTGGTTTGTATGAGGCAGGTGATCGGAGGTTGGAGGGGAAGTTATAGTGGGATGTGTTAGCTGTTTATGCGCATCAAGCCCAGCGCTACTGTTACTGTACAATACAAGATGAAACTGTAAAAGAGTAGGAAAAAGAAAAAGTCACGATGTAAGAGAGGGAGAGGGAGAGAGAGATGGGGAGAGAGTGAGAAAACAACAAAGCCCTGGAGATGAAAGACGGTCTACAAAACAATGGATACAAAATAATGCTCTGCGGTGTGCAGAAATAGAGCAAAGATTGAAAACCTGCCAAGATAAAGACAAACCCCCGCTTTTGAACTGTCACTTCACCGCGATACTGTCAGAAAACAAATGGCAATCTTGACAGGTTTCAGCTGCTTTGAAAGAGACAGAATCATATTTTATTCACAAACGCATATTTTATGGCTTTTATAGCAAAGATCGTAACCTGTTGTTAAGCACTGAATTCTTGAATCTTGTGCTAAATTATTGACATCTACATAATGTACAGATGGAGGGGGAGGAAGGGAGGGGAAAGCAGAGGAAATAGGGAGGAAAGAGGAGTGAGGGTTGGGAGAAATAGAAAGGAGGAGGAAGAGCTGCAGAAATGATGAAAGAGCCCAAATCTCTACATTTTTGTGTTGTTTTTAGTAAGCACACTGTCATTTTTACATGAACCCATGAAAAACGCCGCAAAAACACAGTCTGAGCATTACCGGGAGAGCCATCAATCTGCAGGCATTATCTCTCCACCGTTTCTTTTCTTCCATCCACCCATCCCTCTAGAGCAGCAGTCCTCTGCCTCTCTTTCCGTCTGCCTGTAGAGTGTGGACAGTGAGAGTTACAGCTCGCATCAATAACAGCCAGATAACAGCCCAGTCTTCAGTCTTCAAGCACAGCCTTAAATCACATCAGCCCTGGAGGGAAGCAAATGAAGAGAGAGGAGGAGGAGAGAGGGAAAAGCTTAGCACTTATAAGACACACTACAACAACAACAACAGTGCAGCATTGGGAAAATACACACAAGTGGAACAGAACTGTATTGGGGAAAGAAATTACAAGAACTCATCAATTTATGCAGCATAAAAACAAGGCTCTGTGTTGTAACAGAGTTCACACAGCGAGCAACACGCTGAGAGAGGAGAGAAAAGCAGACATGATGACTGAGAGTTTGTGTGTGTGCATGCATTTGCATATGTGTCGCTGTATGTCTTCAGGTCCATTTTTCTGTATGTTTGTTCTGACAGCAGCACATTACCGAGCTGCAGTACACGACATGAAAAAGCACTTAATGAAGCGCTCCATCCCACTGGCGTATGTTGATCCACAGCATCACACTGGGAAAACGCTGATCCCAGTTGTAGGCATTGAACTAACACACACAAATTCGCACGAGTTCTCGTGTTTTAAAGGGTATTTCTGTCTTATTACAACTTGGGTCTTGGCTTCATAGTTTCGCCCGTCATTCCTGTCCTGAATGTAATCACCAAGGCAATCATTTTCTGTTTGAATTTCAAATCAAGTGGTTTAGATCTGTTGTTCCAAATATGATAAATATATTATTTTACAACTTGCTATAGGCTGTCTTTGCTGTAATTACCTTACACTTGACGCAGTCTGCGCCATGTATTTTACCTTCACTTCCTCATTGTGAAAAATCTCACATACCCAATAAAGAGGTACCAATTCTTAAAGTAGGTCGTCAGTAGACAAGGTAACCAGAATTCAGCAGTATATCAAATCTGTGTGCTTTTTATTTAGTAAGTATCCACAATGAAATACAGACCAAGTAAAGTAAGTTTGTTTAGTTAAATTTTTACACTCAACGACTGTGCTCTTTTTCAAACTTGTAACGAGGCTTACAGCCCACAACATTGTCAATATAAAAATGGTCTGCAGTGCACAAAAGACTGGGAACCATTTGTTTAAATAGGTCTGGGTATCACTGGACAAGCTGAAAATAACCCGTATTCACAGTTTGCTTTTTTTACAACCCATCTAGTCATCCGGCTGCTCCTGCTACTTTCTCAATCCAACGCTGATATAGCAGCAACTACTTTGAGATTATGTCATGATGACTAACAGAAACAATAGCTAATGTCAAAATGTGAACCAATTTGCAATCTACCTGAATCACCCTTTAAAAGGGGCCATGTGTAGTTTTCAATGGTCTCTAGCAGTGAGGTTTTAGATTGCATCCACTACATTTCCAAGCATGTGCTCCTGCGCATGCTCGAACTCATGAGCAAGCACTCTGTCGGCCAAAACAGACACAAGATAGCATCACACAAAATGCTGGAAACTCATGTAAGCTCCCACTGCAACAGTAATATTTTTATAAGCTTGAACTAATCCATGCTTGTTACATGATAATGCCACATGACTGTATTTAGTGAGCGTTGAGAATCAGTCATAGGAGAGGCTCAGCAATGTCAGCACAGCTAGATTTACTGGATAATAGCTAAAAATGGTTAGTGAGCTACACTAAATATTTTATACGAGATTGTTATGGGTGGTTTGGTGTGGGGACAGAGGACCCAAATGCGGTGCTCAGAGCAAAGGAGGTTTATTGAGGGAAAAGGGGGTTGAGGGACTGGAGGGAGGTGGATGCCGGGGAAACCGACATGACTGGGACCAGGGAGCCGGGGAACACTGGGGCCGAGGAAGCGGCGAGGCAAGGAAGGACTGGGAGGACGCCGTGAGGGAAGTCCGAGGAGGAGGGGACCGGAGGAAGAGCCCAGCCGACTGGACAAAGGACGAGGGTGAGTGAACCTGGGAGGAAAGCAGACAGAAAGACAGGGTTAGTGCGAGGAATAACTGGGGGAACAGAAAGCCAAGGAAAAGCAGAATAACTGGAGAGGAGAATACACCAGGACACTCGCCGTCAGCCAGGCTGCCACCACAACAGGGCCCCCTCAACAGATGCCTCCTGGCGGCTTTCCCACTGGACTAGGCAGGGCTTGGCAGACAAACGTCGGGGGGGGGGGGGGAAAGTCACACTGGGGGTCTGGCTGGTGGGGGTCCAGGGTCCAAAACAGGGAATTCAGAGAGGGTTTCAGGACTGGGAAGGGTCAGGCAAACAGGCAGGGCTGAACTGAGGACATAGGGCCAGAGGGCAGAGCTGGGGGACCAGGGAGATCAAGTGGACAGCCCGAGGGCTGACTGGGGGAACCAGAGAGTTCGTGCCAAGAGAGCACGAGGAGCAGGGGTAGGCCGGACTGCCGGCGGGGCTGAAGCCGGTCGATCCGCCAACAGGGTATGAGGAGCGGGGTTCAGCTGAGGGTTAGTGGCGCTTGCAGGCCGGGGATCACAAGGGACAGGCTGGTGGCTAGCTGCGCCAGCAGGTTGGGATCTGGACCAGACGGAGGGATAGCCGGACAGGCCAGGGGACCAGGAGGGATAGCCGGACAGGCCGGGGGACCAGCATGAGGAGCACTGGGGGAATTCAGAGCCAATAACAGGGATTCCTTGAGACGACCCACATCCCAAAGCAGCTCAGCCATACCTGGAGCACACAGTAGGCGCAGTTGTTGATCCAGAGCCTTCTCGAAGCAGGCTAGTGTATTCAGCCTCTCGTGCCAATCCTCTGCCCTTAAGTCCTGAGGAGACTGTCCGTGAAGGTCCTCACCTGGCACAGATCCTCTGGGGAAGGGCCAATGGCCGCCGGGCCCATCTCCGGTTCGGTCCAACAATCGCTGAGCACAGGCCGAGGTAACGGCCCAGACGCAGACACTGGCAGGGACTCGCTCGGGGGCTCCTTGGTGGGGGGGAGGGGCAAGGGTGTGGAGGAAGCTTGCATCCCAGGGTGGGACGAAATCCCTTAAGCGAGGCTCAGCCCACAGCAGCTGTTGAGCCCTGGTGCGGAAAGCTTCCTTCAGGCCATCATTTATGGCTCCCTTCCACAGCTCTTTCAGCTTGAAGAAGTCCCAGAGCCAGGACTCAAATTCAGAGGAGTCGGAGGAGAGGGGTGAGGGTGCTGGGTCCATGTTGAGTGAACCTGGGAGGAAAGCAGACAGAAAGACAGGGTTAGTGCAAGGAATAACCAGGAGCTGGAAAACAAAGGTTATTTAAACCTGAGCATGAGAGGTTGGCACCAGGTTAGGAGCAACGACGATCAAGCAATAATGGTGTGGAGAACCGGGGTTGAAATACAGGCAGGGATGAGGTTGACTACTGGCAGGTGTGGCAGACTGACGAGGTGGCTGATGAGGTGCATGTGCGGGTCGTTGGCTGGGCTCAGGAGCAGAGGGAGAGAGAGAGCACACAGGGGAGAAAACACAGGGAGGCAGGCAGAGAACAGAGAAAACCAAGGAAAATGCAGAATAACTGAAGAAAAGGAGAAAAAAACAGGACACTCACCAGTTGCTACACTTTGTAAAAGTTAGACCGCAGTGAATGGGTTTTCCACTGTCCTGCTGTCCTGCACTGTTTTGTTGCATTATTGTGAATAATGTGGTTTACGTAAGATACAATGACTGAGACCAGAGAAGAAGCTGTGTACCAGTAAAATGACAATAAATCTAAATTGAACATTATGAAGCAAACAGCGGTGGATCTGTGCTATAGCTGGCTGCCCGTGCCTTGTATCATAGGCTAGTATAAACAAAGCGTTACATAATTCCTTGCAGGCTAAAATCAACACTTTGAAATAATACCGGTGGTACACTGGAAAGTAATATGGGTCGTGTTAGCTAGTGAAGGAATGTGGAAAGCCATAACTATAGTATTTTGCAATATTTTTTGCAATGACGTTAACAACTGGATGGCGTTAGCCGACAAGCTAGCATTATTCAACTTGAGCCAACTAAAGCACAAAATCACTGTGCATTCCACAGGCTTTTCAGTAATGTTAGTTCACCTGTCCATTAGGATGAAAGCCAACTCGTAGATCTGATTCCCATTTGGCCTGACGTCCTTCAGCACATAACACTTTTATTTTGTTTTTTATCCTTACATGCTGGAGTCTGTATTGTGACCAAGTCGTTTTTTGGTCTTAGTGGAATCCATTTCATTAGATGGGGTGTTGTTGCTGTATGTACATGTACACACAGCAGCAACACCCCGAGCCTCTTACCTACTGATTCTGATATGTATAATATGTATATTCTTCAGATAGTACACAGAATAGGGGGTGTTCCAAGAGACCGAGAAAGCAGGTGAGAGGTTAATTATTATGTGAGGTTACAACCCGTTCACATATAGGCAATAAATAAGTGGTTAATTGATAAGTGATTTCTTTAAAAAACTACATATAGGCCCTTTAAGTTCAGACCTTCATCTTAGAGCTCAGGATGTCTCCTTTCTTTCACTGCCCCCTACTATGCCTCTTTTTGCTCTGTCACTCACAAACACCTCTACACCTCAACCCACATCTCAGTCATCGCTCCTCATTTGTCTCATTTGCTTCTTCACAATTATCTCCCTCCCTCCCTCTGTCTCAGGCTCCTTCTCTGTCTCTCCACATTATGATTCAGTGACACTTTCACTTCAGCGCATGCCAACAGGAGCACAGAACACAACACACATACAGACAGTTGGAGGGACTGTACAGACTTATAGGAGGTCTACTTCAGTCCATACTCCACAGTAAACAGTGTGTGTGACATCCTCTGAGCTGAGGTCAGAGGTCGGCCGGTGTTACAACTCCCTGTGTACCCTCTGTGCTGCCAGGGTCACACATCCTTCACAGACAGCTGCTGTCCATACTGTCCATACTGTTGTGAGGTATGGATCAGAGTAGCTAAAGAGATTTAAAGGGATTCACCCCACTCTACTCACACACACATAGATAGGAAGGCTCAAGAACTTAGCGCTATCAGAGTGTTTATTAGTGCAGCGGTGTTTGATAATGTCCTTGTGTCCAGCCACATAGTAACTGACCTTCTGACCTTTACCCTGCACTCATCACCTGTCAACCCCATTTACAGAAGAGGTCAGAGGTCACCGGGGGGACCTCCCAGTCACACTCCCAGATGGAGCACTTTTAGAAGCAGGGACAACACCTGTTAAACACACACACACACACACACACACACACACAGCAAGACTGTCCTGTAAGTGACTTTCTCTTCCTCAGTGTGATGAATTGAAAAGCATACATGTCCTGTGAGCGACAATGATTCTGACTCACAGCTCTGTTGAGACGCAACACACACTATGCTCTGTTTGACATGTCATGTGAGTTCAGTCACTCAGAGAATGCGCACTGTATGAAGGATGACCGGTCACAACTCACTAACTCCGAACACAATGGCAGGTGGTCACAGTCACACAGTAGCGTGTGTGTGTGTGTGTGTGCATATACATTAACCACAATGAATGAATATGTGACTCAACAGTTTCCATTGTGCAGTGAATGTTTCTAACAAATATCTGCATCCAAGACAAAAACACACATTTTGAAAAACTTGTACATGTGTGATAATGAAACAGATATTGCTCTCTGATACAATACTATCTGACAAACAAATGCAGTTGGCTGCTGGGTTTCCAAATTACTTCTCATATGCTCTTGTGTGTGTGTGTGTGTGTGTGTGTGTTTGGTGAGCTGTCACAGGAGATCTGGTGAGAGTGGGCTAATTGGAGTTAATTCACCATCTGTCTGTGTGAGCCAGCAGACAGGGTCATTAGCAGAGACAAGTCCAGCCACAGGGGAGGCCAAGAGGGGAATCACCATCCCTCACTTTCCCTCCCTATCATTAGTTTCCCCCTTTCTTCCCGTCTACCAAACTGTCTCTTATCTGTCTGTCTTTTCATCTATTTGATCCTCCTTAATGGCATTTTTCAGATCCTGTTGTCTAAACTTCTTCCCTCTGCAAAGCAGACATTTTTAATTCTTTGTTTGGCATACCGATTCTGTTGTATGCAAAAGATTGTTTGAAGTGGTGATGATAGAAAGGAGTGTAGAGTGAGGGATCAGTCAGTGAGAGAGCCGTTTTCTTTTTCATCGACTGTTTTGTCAGATGAGCACTGCCCTCTGCTGGCCAGATGTGAGCCTGAGATCACAGCGCTGAGCAGTGATAAATAGAGATAAAAGAGAAACAGTTATTTTCCTGTCCTCCTGTGTCACTGTTTAAAAACGAGATAGAAAATGTTTAACAGTGTACTCTGTAAGTATTTTCTGATGTGAACTATGGCTACGGTTTGGATGACAGTGATTGAAAATGCACAAGGCTGCACTTTTTCTTCATGGCACATATGAATTTCAACAGTACAGAGTAATACATTTTAAGAGATTGGACAGGATTCACAGTTACGCTTCTACCGTTTGAACTGTAATTTGTTGACAGAGCATGTCATTGTGATGCAGAAAATAAAAAGACAAGACTGTTTTACAACACTGTAGAGCACAACAGGGAAAATTACAAAATTAGAAATGTAAACATGGGAAACACTCCTTAGGCTGACCTTACTGTCTGTTGGACCACAGATTCTCACCCACATCACATCAGATATCTTCACCAATTCAGGACACATTTACAAAAATAAAATGTCTAATAGACATGTGTAGAAAATATATACTGATAGATTAGGACAATGTGCTCAACCATTTTGTATCACTTATGCAGTGAACTAATGCCGAGATTTTTTGGGGTGTGAGACAATTCAACAAAGAACCAGCATAATACATGTGACAATACATGACATAAGCAATTGATAATGTAGGAAACAGCAGACTATTGTACATACTCATTTGCGTGAATGTGTCAAAGCGTTTGGAATTTGTTCAAAACAATGGGGAATTGCTTTTATGTTGTGCACAAGTAACTAGATGCTGTGGACGCTGAACAATTAGTTTTGAGAATTTCAATTCTGCTCTGAGAAATGTACCAAAGCGACAGAGAAAAAATATTTAACTTATATGTTATAATTTGTCCAAGGCGTTTGTTGCATGTTTAACCTCTTTCTCCATGTATTTCTTGCATTTTTCTCCACTGTTGGCTGTGATGAAACAAAATGAAATTAAAACAATCTTTAAAGAATGTCTGACATTGCTGAGAGGGAGGACTATAGTGTTTATTTATAGGGAAACATTACCCAAGAGTCTCTGCATACTTCACAGATCAAAAATAAACATCAGACTAGTGTCGGTGCTTAGTTGTATGCATATATACACACGCAAAGGCAGATTCCCACTCATCTATTAAAATGAAAAATCTTGATATAACAAAAACAGAATTAAAGTTAATAGCTGCCAGGTATAAGTCAGGTGAATGCTATACTCCACCAACATTGACAAAATACACTGGATTCCTAACTCAGACTATTAAATCTCTGCATGTTCATGTTGCATGGAGGGAAGACAGATGATTGAGATGTTTTGAGGCCACTTCAGACCCGGACCACCCACACAGATCCAGGCCTGATCTGTCTCCTAGAGATGTGCTTTGTGGAGTCACTGTAACAGTGCAATGAGCTATTGCACAGAGATCAATGAAGAGGAAACTTTACATTTGGAAGACACATATTTAGCATTTTTAATATGACCATTCAATTGGTTCTTTTTACATTGAGGTAATATTTGCCTTCAGTTGTCCTGGAACAGGCTGTGATCACCATAGTCCATCTTAGCCCAGGCCAGTATAGGCTCCTCTCCATCTCTATGTGGTCTTGTATACTGTAATTTGCCCAGAATGAAAGCATAGCTGTACGCCTTTTCATTACAGCACGCTGTGCACATGCCACACCAACAAAAGATGAATCAGTCAGTGGGAAGCTACAACTCAAGGAATTTTCTCAACTCTGCTTGATGGGTCATATATTTTGCCTTTGTGAATTTTAAATGTTTTCATCTAATGATACCAGACCATTCTCCATAGGTGTTTTCATCTCTGTCAACACCAAAGAAGAAAACAGTACAGAGGTTTGAGAGTGCAGTTATAATGTGGTGTTTTTTTGTTGCCACAGACTGATTCTCCACTTATTACGTATTCTACAACCTCTGTCTTGTACTCAACATCTCCACAGTACTTTTTTGGCAGTACAAATTGTGCCTGACACAACATCAAAAAAGTTCAATCGGGTTGAGGTCAAGACTCTGACTGGGCCACTCCAGAAGGCGTATTTTCTTCTGTTTAAGCCATTCTGTTGTTGATTTACTTCTCTGCTTTGGGCCATTGTCCTGTTGCATCACCCATCTTCTGTTGAGCTTCAATTAGCGGACAGATTTCTTGAATACATTTTTTCGTCAATGATAGCAACCCTGAGGCAGTGAAGCAACCCCAAACCATGATTCCTCCTCCACCATACTTCACAGTTGGGATGAGGTTTTGATGTTGGTGTTCTGTGCCTTTTTTCCTCCACTTGGAGGGTTGTGTGTTCCTTCCAAACAACTCAACTTTGGTTTCATCTCTCCGCAGAATATTTAGCCAGTAGTGCTGTGGAACATCCAGGTGCTCTTTTGCAAACATCAGACATACAACAATGTTTTTTTTGGACAGGAGTGGCTTCTTCTGTGTTGTCCTCCCATGAACGTTATTCTTGTTCACTGTTTTACGTATCATAGAGTTGTCAACAGAGATGTTAGCCAGGATGGCCACTCCTAGGGAGAGTAGCAACATTGCTAAACTTTGATGAACATCAAGGCTTTTAGAGATATTTTTGTAACCCTTCCCATGCAAGTCAGCGATTCTTAGGTCTTCTGAGAACTCTTTTGTTCCAGGCATGTTTCACATCAGGCAATGCTTCATGAGAATAACAAAATTAAAATGAGTGGATTAGTGATTGGACTCAAGGTTGGCTTACTCCTGACTCCAGTTAGCTTTTGGAGAAATCATTAGCCTAGGGGTTCACATACTTTTTCCACCCTGAATGTTTACACACAATAAAAACATATAATTGTTTGTGTTTAAGCAGACTGTGTTTGTCTATTGTTGTGACTTAGATGAAGATCAGATCACATTTTATGACCAACCAGAAATTTAGGTAACTCCAAAGGGTTCACATACTTTTTTCCTGCCACTGCATGTACCATATAAAAGAGGTAAAACATGAGTATTGTCTTATTCTTTTCATTATTTCCTGCATTTCTTTTAAATACAGGAGAACATTCTGTATTTATACATGATTTTCAGTTTGTTATTATTATTATTTATTAATATCTAGGATGATTTATGATTTATACCTTTGGTTTGTCACAGTCTTCGTCTGTTTGACTGTTTGCAAAATGCCTGAAATAAAAAGCTTTAGAGACCTACATGGTGTAACATGTCTGGTGAAGGTTAGAGGAGCCAAATGGGGCGAGACCCTGAATGATTCAGAGGCCCAGAGCTAGCCAGGAACACTGAAACATGCCAGGAACTGTAGATATTTATTGTTTCAGGGACCCGAGTGAGCTGTTGTCAGGGGGCTCAGGATTTGTAGCAGCGTAACTGAAGTCAAAGGTGATTCTACGGTAAGATTCACTTTAACTACAGTAACATGCCGTTGCTGGGACTGTTAGACAGACACATTTACACACTATAATATACAATACATCCAGGACATAAGACTGAGTAATGTTCATGTCAGTTGTAATCCAATATATAGTTAATTTTCTTAGACAAAGGCTTAACAAAAAGATCTTATGATCCACACCCATCTGCTGCTGAAAAACAACACATCACAGTTTATTCCGTCCATCATTGTTAGAAATGCACTTTGATCTGATCACTACTAGAAGTTTCTGAGCAGGCTAATACAGGCATTCTCTCTCCTGTGTTAAATTTATATCCCTTACACAAGAATGTGTCTTATGATGTGATATTTCAAAGTATATTCCTTCCCCCCAAAACCTTAATTATATCACTTCCCAAGCAAATAAAAATATCAAATAGCTGAGCTTCAATTCAGCCTTTAAACCAATATAAAACAGAATAGATTAAATAAAGCAGAGAATGGCAGATCAAAACAAAATACACAGATGAGAAATACAACGTCATATAGTTCAATGGCAAATATAAAAAATGGATGAATGTAATAGTATACAAGAAAGACAAAATAAATTATTCAATTAAGTTAAATATAAATTCAAAATATCGCAGTAGAGATGTAAAGTTATAGGCCTTTTTCACAGCAAAAATTTTGACTTCTTATGGTGGGAAAATCACAGGTGTAGCATAACGATGTTTTCGTTCTATTGATTTATTCATTCATATTTTATTATTTACACCTGTGCTTTTCCCACTGCAACTACTGTATACTGTAGTGGATTGCATTTCATTGTGCACCTTGTCCGTCTCTTTTACTGCAGGTGTGTCAACCAATTGAAACCTTTGCACGACAACATTCAGTGCGTCTCTGACACTGTCTTGTCCTCTCAGCACTGAACCACTAACAATTACTGTAAAGAACCCGCTGTGTGTCCTCCCAGCAGTCAGAGGTGACCAGGTCAGTGAACGCCTCACTGCAGTAACTCTGGGCTTCCTGCCAGTTCAAAGACATTTACACCAAGTAGCACTCAATAGGGAACGCAGGTGACAAAGCACAGTCTACTGTCTCTGGGTTGATGCTGGGTGAGCGACTAATTTGACAGGGTTTACTATACTTAGTGTAAGGATTCATAGAGACTGTTTTCAGCTGCACCTGGAGGATGAGGCAGCCTCTCTGGTTGCCAGTGGACCTTGAAAAGCTTCCAACAATAAATGTGGTTACATGACTTCTCCACAATCATTTAAATGTGGAGTAACCTTTACTCCAACATAGATTTCTCCAGACAAGGCCTTCGCTAAAATGTTTATGTTGCTTATCTTTTCCAGGATGCAACATTATTCCAAAGGGGATATTTTTTCAAGTCAAAATATAACTACATGTAGGGGTATAGAAAGCAGTGTTAGTCAATGAGGGGCAACATAAAATATGTTTTATTATTCCATATTTTAATCTGGTCCACCTAAACTTTTGTGTATATATTCTCAACACGTGGGAATATTTAACTGCTGCCTGAAGTAATTTCCCAATGTAGGAGTGCGGAAAATCACAACAGATGTAGGGCAAGTCTTTTGGGATTCTCATCTAAAAAGTATTTATGCTTAAACAACAGTTAAAAATAATATTCTGTATTTGTATGTCAGTGTTAATATCTTATCCCATATTTTTTGTTTGCCTTGTTGCTGCTGTTGTTTTTTTTATTCTGTTAATTTTCTTACTTGCCAAATTTAAAAGAAAATGGGAAACCGACAGACTACAGGTTGAAAAACTGGTTGGTTTCACATAAGTTAGCGACATTTTTGTGCACTGAAGTGGTTGAATAAGAAAGAAACAAGAAATTTGTGTTTATCTCATCAACTGGTGATGTTTTTACCCACCAGGGGAGGCTACATTCATAATGCCAGTGTTACATTTTCTTTTATTTGTAACTAATACCTTGTTTGTTTGTTTGTTTGTTTGTTTGTTTGACAAAATGCTTAACCTACAATGAAATTGCTAATAGTTTCAACTCATTTTATTTACTCCTAAAGCACTTACAGTTTTTCTCAGTCGCATTGTCAGAGTTGAAATTCTCAAAACTACCTGTTCAGCCCAATATAAAAGCAGTTTCTCATTCTTTTGAAAAAATTGCAGATGCTGTTTCCTACATTATCAAGTGCTTATGATCACAATGTATTATACTAGTTCTCTGATGAATAATCTCCCCAAAACATCAACTTCATTGCACAAGTCACAAAATGCAAAATGGGTGGAAATGTTGTCATAATCTGTCATGCATGTTTTTTTAAAATGTCTATTATGCTTTTTTTTGTGTAAATGTGTCCGGAATTTATGAAGACATCCATTGTGACGTGGATGAGAATCTGTGGCACAACAGACAGGAAGGTCAGCCTAAGGGGTGTTACATGTTACAGTTCCCAATCGCTTTGGCACAATCATCAAATGACTATTAAACTTTGTCAAACTATATGAACATTAGGTCAGTTGTTCAAATGACTATAGTTATTTATAACTGCTTTGGCACAAAATGCACTGAGTAAGCCTTGCAGATCAAAATACTTTGCATGTGTTTGCTGTTGAATTATATTTCTCCCAAATGCAATTATACACATGTTCATTGGTTAAATCTCTACATGCTAAATAGAGTGACCAAAAATCATAATAACCTGTCACGCATATATTAGATACATAATAGTTAAGGGGTATTGTTTTAAAAGTTGTCAGATGGATAGGCTGAAACAGTTCAATTTCCTCACAATTTAGAGCAACCAAACACAGCTGCTATCCAATTTAGCTGACAGGTAAAACTCATAACTGATCAGTTCTCAAACACATTTAGACTGCAAGGGTAAGACTGAATATTACAGCTCTGTGTGTGACTATGGAGCATGCAGGAGACAGACAGGGGCAAGAGTCTGCCCGTGCAAGAGGAAGGGGCGTTAGAGTGCAGGGTGATATGGTGAGGGGGAAAGGAAGACGGAGAGGGGACACAGAGGACGAGGAAGATCCAGAGAAAGGCAAAGACACGGAGAAATCTCAAATGAGATACATGCAACACTTACAGACCATGTAATCAACCATGGCCTAAGTATGATAGAGGTTAGTTGGAGAGTGCAGCCTAATATTATAAAACAGTGGTCTTTTTCTTTTCTGCGTCACAATTACATGGTCTGTCAACAAATTACAGTACAACCAGTAAAAGTGTACCTGTGAATCCTGTCCAATCTCTTGCAATGTATAAACTTTGTAGGCTACTGTTGAAAATGATATATGCCATACATTCAATGTAAGTTCTTATAGTTTCTTATAGCTGCTTACACACAAAATATTTACATGTCACACGATTTTTGAAAGCTCTTACTCAAAGAGCAAAACTACACACCAAATCTCCAAAACCATATGCTTTTTCTCAGCCTTTCACTCAGTTTTCAACTGCATAAAACGCTGTACAGAATTCTCTACCTAAGACACAAAAATCTAACAGGAAGTGACTTGCTTTCCTTTTCCAAACACAACCAATCAAAATGCTACACTTATTTACCAGGTCACACAAATACTCTTCATATGTGTAAACACTAATTTCTCAAATGATCTCTAACCAATCACTGCTTTAGTGTAGGCCTAGTAAATATGTCAAAGGTCAGATGTACCTGTTTTGAACATTGGATGCCAACAATGGACAGAGAGCAAAGGAAGGCAGAGGCTGACAATGAGGACAAGTTCAAGGAGGACAAGTTGGGAGGAGGAGGAGGAGGAGGTCAAAGACGAGAAGGAAGGATCAGGGCCACACTTGTTGATCATGTAACGAACCACGAGTTGAACTTGACCATGACAACTTGAGTTGCTTTATAGTGGCTTCCATAACTCAAACCTTCAGAAATGAGAACTGTGCTATTGTTACAATATTAATTGCCAAATAAATATTTTCTGTTTCAACATTGCATTGGTGTTTACAGTGTACTTTTCAACCCCTCTCGGCAGATTACTTTCACTGTAGATCATTTTATGGAAATGTAATGTTACACATAACACTATGAAAGACAAAAGAGCTTCAGATTTAGAACAACAGTAAGTTAAGTACATGGCATTTCCAAAAAATTACTATTATGAAAAAAGTGTTTGTCATGCTTCAGTTTGAGATGTATTTTGTTTGTGGCATCTTGAATGCAGTGTTTTCTTTGAAAGGAGATATGAGGCATTTTGCATTTTGTGTGTGCAATTTTAGGAATTGTGTGTAGAGCTTTAAAAAAGTAAACAGTTTTGAAAACGTATGTAAGCAGTTGCAAAAAAAAACTGTAATAATAACAGTAATAGTAACGATGCTTATTATTTCCACTAGGAGCCGCTGGCCCGTGGCTAAGCTCGCAGTGAGCTAACAGAGCTGGTTTATTCATTTGTAGAGATCCGGGATGCTCCGACGCTGCCGGAGATGCCCCAGAAAAGAGCCTGGCAGTTACCTTTGTAGATGAAAGACCCTGGAAACAAAAAAGTTCTTGGATACGCTTTACGATGAGCAGGAGTAGACGATAAGTTGTTTTTGGACATTTTGGACGAGGAGGCTGCTCGGCTGTAAAGCTCACAAGTTAGACAGCTATCGCAACGCCGACGTTTGCTAACGTTAGCGGCGCAATAGCGTTAGCCTAAGTTAGCTGCTAGGTAAATATTACGACTGCTTTTCGGAGCTTCCCGCATTTAGGTCCGCGTTGTTGACTTAATAACTCTGCCGTTAGTAATCATTTTGTACCATCGTTTTATTAAATATAATAGCACGCTTCGCTCCTACGAGATGTGTGGGGTTTTGTTACGTTGCACACAAAGCTAACTGGCTATAGTTAGCCTGTTCGTATGCTAGCTGACATTAGCTAACGTTGCCGAGCCAGCCAGCAACTTCGGCAGGAGAGTTTCGGCGAGCTAACCACGACAGTATTGTCGCTCACAATCAACTTCTGCCGTTAAAAGCAGTCAGCCTGCAGTCATGTTTGAAATGGAGACACATATATCGTGCCTTTTCCCGGAGATCCTGGCCATTATTTTCAGTTATCTGGACGTTAAAGACAAAGGAAGAGTAGCCCAAGTGTGCGCGGCCTGGAGAGACGCGTCCTACCACAAGTCGGTGTGGAGGGGGGTGGAAGCCAAGCTCCATCTGCGGCGAGCCAACCCGTCTCTGTTCCCCAGCCTGCAGACTAGGGGGATCAAAAAAGTTCAGATTCTCAGCCTGAGGCGAAGTCTCAGCTACGTGATTCAAGGGATGCCACACATCGAAAGCCTTAACCTGTGTGGGTGTTTCAACCTCACAGACAACGGACTGGGACATGCTTTTGTGCAGGACATCCCATCCCTGCGGGTGCTGAACCTCAGCCTTTGTAAACAGATCACGGACTCCAGCCTTGGCAGGATTGCCCAGTACCTCAAAAACCTGGAGGTGCTTGAACTTGGTGGATGCAGCAATATCACAAACACAGGCCTGTTGCTCATTGCCTGGGGCTTGCACAGACTCAAGAGCCTTAACCTGCGCAGCTGCAGGCATGTATCCGATGTGGGCATCGGTCACCTGTCAGGCATGACCCGCAGCGCTGCAGAGGGCTGCCTCTCCCTGGAGAAGTTAACCTTGCAGGACTGCCAGAAGCTGACTGACCTTTCCCTCAAACATGTCTCTAAGGGCCTTAACAAGCTCAGAGTGCTCAACCTCAGCTTCTGTGGGGGGATATCGGATGCAGGGATGATCCACTTGTCACACATGACCCACCTGTGCAGCCTGAACCTGCGGTCGTGTGATAACATCAGTGACACAGGGATAATGCATCTGGCCATGGGCTCCCTCCGGTTGTCTGGTCTTGACGTGTCCTTCTGTGACAAGATTGGAGACCAGAGCCTGGCTTACATCGCCCAAGGGCTTTATCAACTCAAGTCCCTCTCTCTTTGTTCCTGCCACATCAGTGATGATGGCATTAACAGGATGGTGCGCCAGATGCACGAACTCAAGACACTCAACATTGGACAGTGTGTGAGGATCACAGACAAAGGGTTGGAGTTGATAGCCGACCACCTGACCCAGCTGACTGGGATTGATCTATATGGTTGTACTAAGATCACCAAGAGGGGTCTGGAGAGGATAACGCAGCTCCCGTGCCTTAAAGTGTTAAACTTGGGACTGTGGCAGATGACTGAGAGTGAGAGAGTGAGGTGAAACCTCTCCTTTTTAGTATACACGTGTTTCATTGTGTATAGAGCTCAGTTGTGTACTGAGACGGGCTGCCTGTATCCATTCTCAATTTTACCATCTATGCTGTGATGAAAAATTAGGAGAGACTCTGCATTGATCACTGGAATATTGTTCACCTCCGCTGCAATACTCCACTCTTATGTTTTCAGTCTTGTTGTCTTGATGTGCATTGTTTAATCTCAGCCTGTGTACAGTTCTTACTATCTAGCTACCTCACCCATCAAACACAGGAGTGCCTACTATCGCTGAATACTAGATTACATTGCATATTTTTGTGACTCGCATACCAATGCAGATTTTGATGTTTTTAAAAAATCTCACTGCAGAATACTAGCTAGGCATTTTAACTCTTAACAGAAAGGCTGGTGTACCTTGGATTGAAGTTTTGATAGAATGCTTTTTTGGCTGATGTATTTTTACTTATGTAACCAATATATTTTTTTTGTATTGAATGGCTGTTGACAAAATTGTACTTCAAATTGAAGTGGGTGGATCACTCCTGTCTGTCTTTGTTTACCTGTGTAGTTGGCTATGTTTCATATTCCTGAGGAAATAAGTATGTATCAGATGTTCCAGTATCCTACTTTTGTCAAAGGATCATCAATACAACTACAGTACAGCGTAGTAATTAACAGCTGCCAAGGCTATATGCAATACCTTTTAAAACTGTTTATCAGCGTTTTTTTTTTTCTCCTGGGGAGCTTCCAGCGATAGCGACAGAGTATTTGTTTAAAAAAAGCAGTAATTTAAGATCGTTTTATATTCATACAGTAGTGATATTTATGAATAAAGATGGCAAATATGTTTCAGCTTTGTTTTTCCGAACTGTTATTTGATTCAAGACTTGACCATACAGCTCTAAGGTTTGTGCAGTTAGATAGAGTTTCCTATACAAAATCTAATCGTAATAGCAGAGTATTTTATGCAATATGCTGCATCAAGATAATCAGGAGAATGCCTTTTTATTTCTTACTTTCAGGGCTCTAACTATAATACTGATAGTATGATAGTTAAAGACATGTTGGGCCCTATATGCTCACTTTTCTAAGGTCAACAATCCTGCAGTAATCGTTTGAGGAAACAACCCACAACTCATTGCATTAAACATTTTTGGAATGATATACAAAGAATGGCAAGACAGCAAGCACAGATTTTAGTTGTCCTATGATGATGCCCCATTTTCAAGTTTTCATCCTGAAACTGAAAGTTTGCATTGTTGACCTTGGAAACAGCAGTTGAAAACACATCAACACAGGGTCCATGAAGTAGCTTTTCTTTGGCATTTTAGTGCTCAGAAATCAAACGGCTACAAATCTATGAAAGCTGGACAAACTATCTGCTTAGAAAGATTGCGTGATACGATTGAAAGGTCCAGAAGAGCTCCAGGGGTGTAGCCTGACACTGGCCTCTGATTGGAGAAATTTCTTGGGAGTTAAATAATAAATGAACATTGACAATGTGAACAATTAATGTCAAATTTAATTAACACAATTACCTTTAATCAAATCCATAACTTCTGCTAATGTGAAATCAGTCTTGCTTGTCTTCAAACTGGTTTAAAAACTGGTGGTGAACATTGTTTATCTCTGTGGCTCATTTGACAGAAGGGGGGGGGAAGAAATCAAGAAAGGAAGGCTTATAATTTATTTATTTACATACATACAAAATCCAAATAACTCACAAACATGTCTGTTTTGCTTTCTTTTTACACAGTTTGATTCTTAACACAAACAGACAGAAGGCAGTACATTTCTTATACAAATGCAAAAGAAAAATAAGGACAAATACCGTGAATTTGACAGAAACCCCTTAATCAGCTCTGTGTTCCCTCAATAAAGAGTTGAGAAAAGGAGATGACGAGACATTACAGCAATGGCTGACACACAGGCCAATGTATGGGGATTAAAACACTGAACTAAAAATGCTGCTTTCTCTGAACTGAGTGGTGGAAGGTGAGAGGTTAAAGGGGGATGGAGGGAAACTAATCTCCACTGCAAGAGGCTTGACAGACAAGAAGTACAAAAACAATGATGAGCCATGATGGCTGGAGACCTATTTTTAATCTATCAGGTGCAGTTCTGCCTGTGACGTCAACCAACAAAAACCATTGACAGAACAAGTTGAGAAGAAAAAAACAACACTGGAATCTCAGCATAATACATTTACACTACCGTATGGTGAAAATATGAAGAAAAAAAAAGACGATTAGAAATAAATGCCAGAAAAGTACTCTCCCATCACACAGTCACGGTTTGAAAACATTTGTAGTTCACACATTATTTTGACACAAAAGGTTTTTTTTGACACTTCTTTTCCTCAGTTTCTGCTGAGGACACTAACTTGACGGTCATTTTGTTCAGAGCAGATTGCTCTTCAAGATTCTGTGCAAACATTCAATGCATATCCATACAGTAAACATTTTATATATATATATATATCTCTATAGAACATGACTTTCCGCAAGTTATGGCAGTAGTCACACACACACACACACACACACACACACTTTGTCCTGAAGACAAAATTAGACACAAGACAACTGCACTGCTTTTAACTTTTCAGATTTTTTTTTTTAAAGAACGCACAACACCTTCCACTTAATTACCTTTATTCAGTCACTGTACGTGTTAAATATCACGTTATTTACAAACTGATCTATAAAGTCAAAAATCTGCTGAAAAGTGACTTTAATTTCCTGTAAATGTAGATGCACTTAGTAATTAAAAACCTCAGCCCTGAAGATTTGAAAAAATACAATAAAAAGGAGGCATCACTTGCATTTGTAAGTGATCAGAAAAATACAAGAAAAAAGGGGGCGTTGCTTGTAATTCATCTGTGATTCAGTCCACAAACTAAAGGATCAGGTGGGCTTTACGTAACATCTACAGAAACTTTGGATGAGACTGAATGATCAGTGGATCAGATCAAAGTTCTTACATCATGCCTTAGCACCAGTATCGCAGAGGAATAAATATCCCTGCATTAGGTCCAGTACTGATCTCTGTGCATGCTCCAAGGCCACTAGAACGTTCTCAAAAGAAACATTGCATACCTCATAAACAAGTGGACGTTGTGTGCAAAACCATCTAAAAATGAATACGTCACCAAGGATAAAAACTTTTTTTGTTTCCTCTCTCTCTCACACACTGGTATTTGAGAACGTAGTATAACTAAAAGCTGACCTTTGATCCGTGTCAAAGGTCGGTCCTTGATCCCCCTCTCGTGCCAGTGACCCAGCCACAGATTACACAGTAAAAACGTACCAACAACTTAATCCCGGCTACAACGACAGATCCACAGCTGCAAGCTGGGAGGAAACATTTGGAGAACATGCTGCATTTATTTGGTTAAAAAGTAGCCTTTCCCAGGTGTTCAGATGACCGGCCACAGGTTGCTGTATTTCTGTTGAACTAGGGAACAATGAGTAAAAATACAAAACAAGCATCTACATGGCTCCATGATTTACCCACTGAACTCCGCTCCTCCCTGCTCCCCTCTAGATGTAGCAGCTCCCCAGTTCTTTAAGAAAATAAGTGCTTTCCTGCCCCATATCAAGAATAATTTTACCCATTTTAACTTGAATGATTTGCGAGAGGAAAAAGACTGAGACAGGCGTGGGTGAGGTAACTGTGCTTAATCTAGCAGTTCCTGCTGTGAATGAAGTCGTCTAGGGAGGAAGGTTGGCAGTAAACTCAAAGACTTTGTGCGCAAGTTTGTTTCTTTCACCTGATATCCTTTCTCTCCCAGAGCACCTGTCCCAGACTTACAGGTGTGCAATGATAGTGTGTACTACAAGTGAAAATCAAATACTGTAAGTTCACAAATGCTAAATGTGGAGCTTTTAACTTTTCACAAAACCTCCAGCACGCTGCTGCCTGCCTGCTATGTGATTACCTCAGTTTGTAGTGAGCCACAAGTGCCATTTTTGATAACACTTCGATAGACTTTGTGAACATCCCTAATTCTATTTTGCAGGCCTGACATTAGAGAGACACGAGACAGGAAAGCACTTAACAGTCCTGTACGTTTGTTCCAGGGTGGACGAAGGGAGCGAAGAAGAGAAGCTCAATGGGGTGAGATGATGCCCCAGCTGCGTCTCATCCTTTGTGAGCCGCGTAGAGTGGAGGTAGGGGCGCCTGGACTCGGCTACAGGTTATGTGAAGACCAGGGGCCAGCCGGGTTGTGTCTGAGGTCAGAGTTGTCAGCACGACTCCTCCAGGGCATTGACAACCTGCTCCAGGATATCGGGGCAGTAGTCTGCAATCTGCTGCAGAACAGAGTTGGCGTACTCCTGCAACTCTCCGCTCTCCTTCTCACACACCTCCAGCTCACGCTCCAACTGAACGGAAAAAGCAAGAATTAGTTCCTTTTAACAGAGTTTCAATCCAGCAAAATCAGTATTCTGCATGTTTCAAAAAATAAAATACATATTTAGGAATGTTTGAAGTTAATAAATGGCTTCTTGAACATTGCACGTAGCTAAACTGATAACACCAGTGGGATTTCCTAATGTAAATAAAAACCATCCATTTATTAGTGACAGATTGGCAATCTGCATTTTGAGATAATCACACTCATAAGGCTGATAAACAAAAACTGTCTGGACACATCCACTCTGTTCTCTAAATATCGGCATCGGCCATTGAAAACCCATATGGGTCGACCACTACCATTTATTGTTCTCCCTTAAATCCACTGTCACTGATACAACTATAAACAAAAGGGATTCACCATGCTTAAACACATGATTGGAGAAAAAGCGCAGATATTGACAATTTGAAAATGATTTGGATAGTGGGCTGCTTTCCTGTATAAACTACACTAAGCACTGGCCGATACTGAGAGCTGTTCTGTATGTGGGCTATAATACCTTTCCTAAATGGATTATGTTAATAATATGTTAAACAATTGCACATCAATAAATATTTGCTGCTGGAAGGTGCAACTATTTGGGGCTTGTATTACTGCGCTGAAATTCTATTTTTTTATCTAATATTTTCTCTCTGTGCTTAATTTCAGTTGCCCTTGAATTGATTAAATTAAATCAATAATAAATTGTGTTTTTTAATGTTCTAATTAATTTCTTCACCTCTGTGTTTAAAAGGTGCTTCACAAATAATCTTGCCTTGCTTAAAAAAAAACAAAAACAAAAAACAGGCCTATGCATTTCAATTAAGAAGTTAACAGAACAGAAAATTTTTCTCACACATCTATAACGTGAGACAGGTGTGCCAGAGGGGGACGAGAAGGTCAAAAGTTGCAAAGAAACTCCCGCACACTGTCTCACTTGCAAAAATAAATTTATAAGCTAATGTTGTGGTACGTCCATTTGGTACCCAATTTATTTTTGCAAGTCAGAGTGTGCGGGAGTTTCTTTGCACATTAAGAAGTTAACCAAATGCTTATTTTTTCCATCACTGAATGTTTATTATTATATTATAATTTATTTATACCAATATACCTGGAATTTATATGCTCAAAAATATTTTCTTTATTTTATTATATTAGTTCCTCCACTACCTGTTCGACAGTCATCTTCTGGAGTTCCTCCTCCCAGTCTTCGGGGTCAACATTGTGATAGTGAGAGGGCGGCGTGAGCTGGCTGAGGATGCTGGGGTCCCGGTCATGGCAGAGGTCTGTCAGGTGGGCGATGTAGAGCTTGAGCTTACTGCGGTTCTGGGACAGGGCTAGAAGAGGGGGTATCATCTGCTGGGTGGGGAGAGATTGCGAGGCAGTGTGGGGAAAAGAAAAAGAAGAGAAAGAAGGGTGAGGGATACATATTATTAGAGGGAAAGGAGAAAAAAAAAAAACCACACACACACACACACACACACACACACACACACACACACATTTAAGTAGTAAGAGTTATGCTCCCGTTTTAATAGTTGAACATTTCAAGATCCCACTTGCATGAAAAAAATTTAAAAAGTTGCTTTTTCCCTCCCATGAGAGAAAAACAAAACATTATCTGCATGCATGCTTATAAACCTATCAACATCTCTCATCATTAAGAGTATCTATGGATTTTTATTCACTTATGTGCAACTACACAGTGTCTTACTCAACCACAGATTACAAAAACGAACGTTTGTGTGGGTCAAAGTGTCAGAAGCTAATCATAAGCATCCGATCAGTGGCATGCAAAGCTAAGGTGCTTTTGTTTGAGGCGATGAGACTCAGCCAGGATCAAAATCGTCTCATCCTCTTAGCTTGTGCATGCAAAGACACACACACACAAACACCATTGATCCCCATCCCAGAAACCACAGCAATAAATGAACAGTGTCAAAGCACAGGATGAGTTGTAAGATCTGCTCTCACAGAAAGACCAAGCAACGATGACAATGACCATCAACATTAAGGAAAGAGGAATACGCATATGACAAAAAGAAAACCACAATGACTGGAGGACGGGTAAACATGCCACAGAGCAACGATGAAGGAAGGAGCGACAGGTCTGGATCTTCACACGAGCTCACCCTTCTGAACAAAATGGCTGAGAGAGGGAGGGGGCAAAATGTTGGCTACGCCCAAATACCCTCCTCGTCATCCTGTTAGCCACAATGTAAGCCGATCGCAGCATTAGAAAGGAATATTTGGTTAGTGCATATTCAGTTAGAAAAGTTAAAGACAGACGAAAACTTCCATTTCAAAATGGTGGGTTCCTTTAGATAGTAGGCATCAGTTCAGCCTTCTTTACAACATTACCTTGTTAACCAGTCAGTTGCAGAAATGTTAGAGAAGCTGTTGAGGATCACATTGAAACATGACTAATATTGAAAGCTACCTGATCTGGAGAGGGTTTGTGATTTGTTTGGTCAGGGGCAGTCCTCAGATGGTCATCCTCGTAATTGTCTGCCATCAGTTTCATTCTGTTCTGAGTCTGTAAATCAAAGATGGTAAGAATTAAAAACACTTGAGCGGGCTAGCGGTAAATGTGTATTGTTATACTGCAGAGAATAATGCAGTTGAATGACATCACTTCTGACAAATTATATCCCACTATCCCTTAAACAGCAGTCACATTCTGAAATCTACAGCATAACCAAACGTGTTTTTCTGGTTGTTTCATTAATAAAAATTACACCAAAAACAACGTGTTACTGGCTAACACAACCATGTACAGTGGGAAGAACAAGTATTTGATACACTGCTGATTTTGCAAGTTTTCCTGCTTACAAAGCATGTAGAGGTCTGTTTTTATCAACTGTGAGAGACAGAATCTAAAACAAAAATCCAGAAAATCACATTGTATTATTTTTAAATAATTAATTAGCATTTTATTGCATGACAATAAAATGTAAAATGGGACTTACTTATATACTTTTTTATTTTTACAGAATTTTTATATTTTTATTGTTATTTTATTATGTATTAACACAAACAACTTTTGCTGTTTTATTTCCTTATCTAATGAAATGTATGAAATTAATTGTCCTTTGGCAATTTTGTTGCTATACATTCATGCTATACATCATGTATTCCCTGCCATGGATACCAGCAGCCCCCTTGCCCACCTGCTGTTTGAGCTGTTGCACCAATCTGTCCTTCTCACGCTTCAGCAGAGCCACCTCATCCTGGGTCTTCTTCTTCTTAGAGGAGGACAACTCCAGTAGGGCAATGTTAGCGTCCTTCTCACTGATAGCAGCCAACAGCGCCTCCTGCCTGTTAGGTTGGGATGAAACAACATGGCATTTAACCACACAGGTAAATAGCTCAATTATCATTTATAATTCATTGTGCAAAATCATCCTGCCAGCTGCGGAAGGCCAGACTTGGATGACATTTCACAATATGAAGGAAGCAATAAATACTCCACAGTCTCCTCCACCCTGTGGAGTGTGCACATGTGTCTTACTTCATCTCCAGCACCTCCTCCAGGTGTTTCCTGCGCTCAGCTCGCAGGGTTGAGAGGTGTGCCTCTTTCTCACCCAGAGACTGCTGGGTGGAGGCCAGCTTGGCCCTCATGGACTCCAGCTCCTGCTTCACCTTCTCCATGGCCCCAAGCAGCTCCTCCATCTGGGAACACACACACAGACATAAGAACATTTATGAATAGAGTAAAACAGATTACCTAAATCCGTCAGTGAAAGCACAGGACTTTTGCTCTAATAAGAGACAGGGGCAGCAGAATTCATGTGGGCTTTCGGGAATATCTAGGGTTCAACTGTAACACAGGTACCATCAAACTACAGCACTAAATTTCATTTACCCGTTATTTATTTAAAAGGGCACAAGAGCACCAAGGTTAATTACAATTGACTGACCATTTGGGGGTTTATTCACCCTTTTATTAAATTTTTTTGGCTATGAGCCAACCATTTAATCAACATTGCTTTGTTTTATTAGCAAACAGCAGGTAAACAAAATAACATAAAAATACATGGGCTGGAAACAGCAACACCTTACAAAATAACGCAATCCAACAACATCAAACATTGATGTCCCCAAAAATGATCAAACTTCACAACGAATTTATTGCAGGACTGTCGTATGGGATTGCATGGAGTGTAGAGGTGTTGCTGTTATTGCGTCCACCCCTTAAGTTCTCACTGATGGAGGTCACACATACTGGGCTCATACCTTAGACCACTTAAAGTGGGCGAGGTTGGACTCATGCATTGGTTTGAGTGAGTGCTTCTGAGAGGCAGAGTGTACCAGAGAAAAAACAGGAGAAAAACAACAAGCAAAGATAAAAGAACTGAGAAAGAGACTGAGGCCAGAGGAGAGGAAGGAGGTGAAGAATGGATGAGAAACACCACAATGGCAGCAAAAATGAGTGATCCTGTGTCTTGATTAATGTTGTGAGTGTGCTTTTTTTGGGGGGGTGGGGGGGGTGTACCTGTTTCTCCTGGAGTGACCTGGCAGCCTCCTCCTGCGCCAATACCATCTCTCGCTCAGCAGTAATCTGAACGCTCTCTCTCAGGGCCTCCTCCAGCTCCTCTATGCGCTCCGACTTTTGACGCAGGGAGTCCTTTAGAACAGGAGTAGGAAGAGCTCAAATGCATGGTTTGTTGGAAACTGATCTAGTAAGCCACTGCTAGCAAATGTGAACTCAGCTCTTATGCAAGGTTCATACATTCCAAGCGAACCGCGCACCTGCCTCACCTTCACCTGCTGGGAGTTCTCGGACATGTTGTCCTCCCTCTTCCTGGCCTCCTCCATGAGTCGAGCATTCCTGCTCTTCTCCACCTGCTCTTTGTGCTTCAGAGACGCTACCTTCTTCGACTGGTCCTTCATCTGCCTACAGGGGCACCATGGGATATGTGGGAGAAGTTACATGTTATGTATAAGTTGTATATGTAATGTGTCATTCCATTTGACAAGAAATGGTTAATTGGGGGACAAGTGCAAATATGTATGTATGTATGTAAGTGCAAAACAACTCTGCACCAAATAAATTTGGGTCCGATTTCAGTTTCATTATAACCGAGCACAGCAAGCATATTCCAATATAACACTGCATTTTCACACATTAAGCTTACATGTGTATGACGCAGTTTTATACAAATATAAATATGCCCTCTAGTAGACACTTCAGGTCAATCAAATCACGAACAAACAGACTTAAAAACAGCTTCTACCCCAGAGCCATACGAGAACTGAATGCTGCCAACACTGATACTGACTGTTTGGGAACAGTTGTACTACCTGTACATAGGGCCACTGCAATTCAGCAAATGTGCAATATCTTGGCTGCTAACAATAAGTACTGTATCGTTTTGTAACTTTTTTTTAGCTCAAAGTTTTTAGATTTTTAATTTTGTTTGTTTTATTTGTTATGTGAGGCAGCACGGTAAGGATGGCACTCAATTTTGTTGTACAACTCCAATAAAGGAATTTGAATCAGAATATTGCTGCATCGATGATCATCCATGTGGAATGTTTTTAAGTCAGTTTTACCTGTAGCCAATTGATCACTGTTCTTAAGCAAATAGTGTCAGGCAGCAACTAACAGGCATTTTCACATCAAATGTGGACACAAAGAGTTACCATTTTTAAACACAGAAATGGCAGTTACAACCATAGCTTTACAGACGTGCTTTGGTAAGATTGTGACAGCTCTGCAATCAATCTCAGATTTGACTCGGGGGAGATAAGACAGAACAATAAGGCGAGTGAGAAAAGATGAACATGAACAGAAAGAAGTATGAGGAAAGACGAGGAGTTCAATATGTCAGGACGAGGCAATTGCTTGAGGCACCGTACGCTATGGAGAGTTAAGAGGTGGAGAGAAACATGGGAGAGAAATGTGAGAAGAGGTCAGGGGAGAGAGGAAAAAGACCAAATACTAACCTGGAGGCGAAACTGGTGGGTTGAGAGATTTCCGGTGTAAAGACAAGAAAGCAGTAAAGAGAAAAACAGACTCAGACCAGGAACATGAGTTAATAATGAAAAAAAAGAGAAAGGAGGAGGAGGGAATCTCATACACATCAACTCTAACATATTGTGGTTCTTGAACTCTGGTGTCACAACGTCACCGCATGACCCCTATATGCCAGCTACTGTGGCCGTACCTACCAACTTTATAACAGGTCTGCTAACAACATTTACCACAGCTTTCAAAGCAATACCTCTAAGATACCAAATGGCAGATGGCCAAATTACACTAAAATCCACCATTTAATGTGCTTGGAGCAACATTCTCCAGAGTGACATGACGTCATTAAAGGAACATTTGCATCAGTCCAAGCTAGAAGGATGAAAACAGATAGCAGTAAATACACTGTAGCTGCCTAACACAAAAACAGGATGTAAAAAACTCAATCATTCAAAAAAATCTATACATTGTGGATATTAAAGACACTAAGTATTCCAGGGCTGGCTGTCAGAAACTACCTGCATGTAAACCTGACAAACATTAGTGACAAGGGCAAAGCGTAAACACATGGTGCAGAGTCGCCAACACGCATGTTTCCACCCACCTCTCCAGCTCACTGATCTTTTTGTCCTTGTCATTCTTCTCATTCTCCATTTCCCGAAGGATCTCCAGCAGGCGGTCCACCTCAGCCTGGGCCTTCCCAGAATCCTCTTTGTGGCGAGCCACTTCCTGCTCAAGGTTCTTAATGCGCTCGGCCAGCTCAGTGTTGGCCTGAGCCTCCAGGGCTGCATTTTGAGCCTGACAAAGCACAGGATGCCATTTAGACAGCAGTAATATTTACTTCCATGTCCGCAGGTGGAGTTTAGATAAGAGAACATTTTTTTTTTTTTAAAAGTGGCAGACTAGGTCAAAATAACATAAAGTAAACATTTTGTAGCGTCACATCAAGTTGAGCCAACACATAAGCTGCCAGATTTCTTTATTTGAAAATCTCACTCTCTTAAGCTGGTTCTCCACTTTGAGGCACTCCTCTCTCTTCTGCTCCAGGGCGATCTCCAGACTCTTGAGTTTGGAGTCTTTTTTCAGCCCTGAGGAGGCCAGGGATGATGCATGCTCCTTCAGGTCCAGCAGGGAGGTCTGCACATATAGATAAAGTATAGATGAACCTGTTGCCACTTATCAAACTAACAGAGCATGAGACTGAGGAGACTGAAAATACATTAGATCTATACAGGCGTGCATGATTCATTGCAAAGTGAGACTAATGGGAAAATAACCTGATGCTGTTTCTGACAGTAATGTTTCACTGTATTAATAGAACCACAGTGAATGAGCGTTTGCCTGTGTTTGTGTGAGCTTGTGTTCCTGCATCCATTTCTCACCTCTCTGTCTGACAGGTCTCCCTGCAGTAAGCTCAGTCTCTCTTTCAACTCTTTCAGTTCCTTCTTGTTACACTCGAGCTCCTCTGTCTTCTCCCTGTCGTCTCGATCTCGCTGCTCCTTTAGACGCTCAATGATGCGCTCCTAGGAGGAGGGAGAGAAAACGATCACACATGCTAACCCCCCGCAAACATAACCAACTAAAACATATACGTCGCCCCAAATGAACATGCAAAAATAGATACAATCAAGTAACTTTGTATGTGCAGAAGTAAATAAACCTTTTCTGCAAGAGACTCCTCCAGTGTGGTGAGAGCAGTGTCAGTGTTGGAAGTGTCTGCCTGCAAAGACTTTACTCTCTCCTTCAGGCTGCTCATCTGCTTCTCCTTGTCCCTCAGCTGCTCCTGCAGGTTCTCAATCTGGAGAGCAAACAAAAGCAACCATCAGTCAAAATGAGCCAACCAACCACAGGAGGCACATTATAACACGAGAAGTGCATTTTTGTGGTCATTTCAGACAACAGCTTCAAACAGCTCTTAGTCCAAATCACCTTCTTCTGCAGCACATTAACTTTGCGCTCCTTAACCTCCAGCATGTCCTTGAGGTCGTGGATCTCCCCGTTGAGTGTGCCCTTCTCTTCTGACATTTCTTGTATCTGCTTGCTCTTCTTATTCAGAGTTGCCTCCTTCTCTTCCAAGCGCAGGCGCAATGCATCCACCTGGCCAGGAAAAAGATAGACATCTTGCCACCAGCACTGTGCCATGCTCACAAGTTTAAAATAAAGTGAAAGAAGCAAAGAAAACAACAAAGCTTCCTCAACATATGGTGCTTCTGTTTGTAGCACTATCAGTCTGAAGTAGGGGGAACAAGTCCCTCCCTTCACTACCTAACATATGTACCCTTAAAGTGCCCTTGCTGGTGAACATTGAGTATAAAGATATGTATCTGTTGCACCTCTGTCTGTAAGATGGCAGCTCGCTGCTCCTTAGCAGTGAGGGACTCCTTGAGGACTTCAATGTGCTGCTTGCTGTCTGAGAACTGATTAGTGAGCGTTTCCAGTTTGGTCTGCAAACCAAGCAGCTCAGTGTCCTTCCTGGAGAGGTCTTGCTTCACCTGCTCCATCTGAAAAGGATGAGACAAAGGGGAAAAGAAAGAGGGAGGGATGGACAGTAAACTTAGCAAATTAAAGCTTCTAGTAAATTCAACATTGACATCTGCCGAGGAAAACTAAACTCCATATCATGTTGTCCCACACCTTGTTCTTCATGAACTTGGTGTGGCTGCGGTAGACCTCCATCTGCTTCATCTCCTCCTGACGCTCCTCGCAGCTAAGAAGTCCATTGGATTTCAGCATCAGCAGCTCCTCCTCCATGTCTCTCAGGCTCCGGTCCATTGAATTGATTTTTGCATCCTGCGGGTTGATGAAGATGATTTATTCATGTAGCATTTGCACATGTGTGACCAAACACACTCAACATACTTCTTTATTTAAATCCTCACCTTCATGTCGATAACAGTCTGTAGAGCCTTTGTTTTGGTGGACTCAGGGGTCCCCTCGTAGCGGCGGTGCAGTTCCTGCTGGGCCAGATGATGTTGCATGTATGTATGTATAAAATATTTATGTGCAGTTTCATATCAAAATTCAAATGTGATAAAACAACATAACTAGGCCAGTGAAAGGTAATGTTATATCGCCTGTGGTTGGCCTGAGCCTTACCTCTCTTAGCGCAGTAATCTCTCTGTCTCTCTGGTCCAGTAAACTCTCAAGGTGATGCCGGTGCATCTCTGCATCAGCCAGTCTTCTGGTCCGCTCCTGGTCCTCCTCTGATGCCTTGGCAGACGGCCCTAAGACAGAATACAGAACAACTTTGTTATCATTATGAAGAAGGTAGAAAGACATTGATGTAGTCAAAAGTCAACCTGAGCATCATCAGCCATGTCGTTTATGCACAGACACAGGAGCAGAGACTTTGTTTTATGCTTAAGACAAAAGCTCATCTGTTCAGCAGGGATATTTATAAGCATTCACAACTCTACACCCAACATGAAACATAAATAACCAAATAGCTAACACCAATTAACTTTTATTTAAGTTATCAAAAGTTTTAGTTTCCTGGTTTGTCAAATATAATATCTCTGATATTATGTGCCTCCTTGACCACAACATGAAATTATTTTGGGAGACACCTATGCAAAAGGTCTTTGCATGAAGCCTTTGGTTATCCCTAGCCTCAGAAGCATACTTTGGTTTAAAGCAAGCATCGTGGTTTGTTTATGGAGCAAACGAACCCATACTTGGCCAAAGGGACAGAGAACTCGGGTGAAGCTCAGGGGGGAACAAGCAAGCGGTAACATTACAGCTTTTAGCGATAGCCTGAGACCAAAACCCAAAAGGTCTGTGGGAGAAACATATTGACTTAGTATTTCAAATAGATAGCTGGTTTTCTTAGGGACAGAAACACAGTTTTGTTAAAGAACCTGTTGGCCAATAGAAGAACTGCTCTGTAGCACAGTCTTGCATTGGCTTCAACATTCAGCCAATACGTTCACCACATGTAAGCAGTCAAGTCTCCACTGATACTTCATAAAGGATAAATTAGTTGTAAGCTTGGTGCCGTGCTATTCTACTGAAGCCCATACCTACCTTTGCTTTGCAGCATCTCCAGAAGTTTCTTGATGGACTCGTCCCTGGCCCCTAGAGTTTGCTTCTGTGTGTCAATCCTCAGCTCCATCTCCTCCAGGGTCTTTCTAAGGAGGAAGAGCTCTTTGGCCTGCCTCTCATGCTCAGCCTGTAGCCGCCGGTAGTTCTCCTCCGTAGGTTCAGACGTCAGGGCCAAGTCTCGCCCTTGGCTGGCGGGGTCTTGCTGGAGCAGCTGGTTCAGGTCCCTCTGAATCCTCAGCTCATCCTGAAGAGCCTGAACAGTCATCTGCAGATGCTACAGACAAATAAGAGGCAAATAATTGTTTTCATCCATTCTTTTTTCAGTTTGTTTGCCTTTACTTTACTTTTTAACAAAATTATTTAAACAGGGGCATATTAAGTGAAGGCAAATTTATTTATTAAATTAATACGGGCGCTGCTTTATGGCATTGGATCATGGCAGAATATTGTGTTACAGACAGTAAAAAAAAAATAAATCACAAAAAATAATCGAATAATGATTGAAAATGCAGCAATGCCCTGACAAATGCACCTCCAACTGCAAGACTTTGTGGACAGTGTTACATTTCATGCCCAGAGAAATACAAGTCGTGAAACACAATCAGCCTAGTATAGGATTGCATTGTTTGTGGCATCTGACGCCACAGTCACTTGGCAAGAGCTGCTGTGAGACAGTAACACAAGGCTTTGTTACTCTCTGGTCTGAACCAGCTGTGAGCATTTTCAGACGACAGAACAAAAGAGAGAAGTCAGTATGCCTTCGTTTTTCTCTGGCCTCCTCCTCCTCCAGCCCCCTCCCTCATCATTCTCTCCTTGTCCCTCCACCAGCACACACTATTCTCCTCCTCACACACTATTCATCTACCTTCGTCTGCCCTCGCCCTATCTCTTCCCTCACCTCTACTCTCACCAACCCTCCCTTTCCATCACACTCTCCACCCCGCGTGACTAAGGCTGACTCACTGCTGTGACCACGCCAATCCACCCTGCAACATACACACCGGCAGATACATGCGCGCACACGCACAGACCCCTTCTCCCTTCCTCAGCCCCCGTATTCTCACTTTCTCTGCCTGGAGAGATAACAGTGAGGCGTTTGAGAGAGCACGGCAAACAGGCGATGTGATGCACAAACTAAGATGATCCAAGTAATAAGTCACAACTCCTAACACAGTGCACACAGAACCAAACCTACTTTTTTGAATCTCCTTCTGTTATTATTAAAACCTGCTCCACCAGCATTAATACTACTGTTGATGAAAAAAAAATCCTATGATCAATATAAAGTTTTTATGTGGCAAGGAAATCTGGCAAGAAATAACTGATGATTATTATTAGTGTCTGACCTTTCTTTAAAATGGGAAAAGGAAGATGACAGCCATTTCACACTATTATAGACTTGGTAATAGCAGTCACTTATTACAAAAAATGAGAGGCATAAAAGCCTTGTAGTGGAGATTTTGGTAAAGCTGTGGCTGGCACAAATAACAACGTAGCAAGCACTACGAAACTCATCCAAAATGACACTTATAAACATACAGACGTATGCACTGTCAGCAGGACCCACATTCAATAAGGGCTTGGAGTTTAACTGAAGCTGTAATTAGCCAAATGCCTGTGTGTGTGTGTGTGTGTGTGTGTGTGTGTGTGTGTGTGTGGTGTCGGTGTGTGTGTGTGTGTGTGTGTGTGTCGGTGTGTCGGTGCTTTCTGTTGCATGTGTGCCAGCATGGGAGGTGGAAGCTCACATATGAAAGCAGACATCTTTAAATTACAGCACCCACTGATTAGTACTGCGCTAGTCGGGCATTACTGGGAATTAGTCCACAGTGTGATCGTGTGACTCAGCAGGAGTGAAAACAGCTAATTATACAGATCTCCCCATCTATTAAGACTCACAGTGAAACAAAGACTTTTTCTCTTAATTAATTCCCAACAAAATAAAGTAGGTTTTAAAAACAGACCATGTGACTATATTTATTCACTTCCTGTTATTAAATACATATGTTGAACATGCGTGTATACGCGTGAGCAGGCGGACACAGACTGCTAAACAAAGAACTGGCGTCAGATTTTTTGCAAAGCCAATGTGTCTATACTTTAGATCCAGAGCCAAGGAAGAGAAAAACAAGCGGAAATGGACACAGAAGTAGTAAAAGGGAATTGAAGCATATAAAAATGCTGGGTTTCCACAGCTAAAATCAAGAAATCAAGCGGTGTGAGAATTTTCACCCCTTGTTTAAAAAACCATGTAAAACCATGTAATTGAACATATTTAAAAGGTCATATACTACATGAAGACGTTCTCAGTCTTGTAAATGTAGTTTCTACCATCTAAACCTAGTCTGCTCTCAGTGCTTGGATTTATGTTGAATGATTTGTTTTCAATCCACGAGAAAGATATGACAAATGTGATGAAAGTGAATTCTGCAGTTTTTGGTATATATTTATCTGGTCATTTCACCTCAATGTACCACATCTGTGTGTCCAAAACACATGATACACCAAAAGAGAACAATAAGTTCAATGTTCTTGAACCAAATGCTAAATCATAAGTGCAACAGCTCCTTTTGGTTCCAGTTGCCATTACCTGTAACTGCATTTGTAAGTTTGTTTCTTATTTTCTGCAGTGGTTAAATTGCTATTCATATACGCAGTTTGAAAATGCGTCCACATTTCCACAATTTTATCTTACTCACCAAATCCAGCAATTTCTAAAACATACAGAAATGCTAATGCGGCCATTAGATTTATGGCCTCTTTCATCTATTATGCATGAGCATATAGCTGCATATAAGAGGATTAACTAGATGTTAGAAAACTGCCTCTAACCTATGCTGAGAGAGGAAAGACAGAGAAACACACTTTTACAAAAGCTGACACACTGGGTGAGAACTGAGTGGAAAAACATCTATTCAAATAAATAAAAAGGGAACATTCACCTGTGCTTCATCTTGAATCACACGGTATTGCTCCTTCCAGACTGTGATCTTAGAAACCTCATCTTTCCTGAGAGCTCGCTCCTTTTTTAATTCTGGGCTCCAGAAGGTCTTGATAGAATTCATGGAGGAACTGAGCTTGCTCTCCTTAACTTCCACTTCTCGCCGCAGCATTTCATTCTCACGCAGAACCTGAGGAAAAAAAAAAAAAAAGTAGCACATAAATGCTGCATTTGTGGTTTGTCGAACAAAGCAAGTCAACATCTTATCGAAAATTCCATTGCCTTTGATAGAGAAAATCTGTAAACTAGGAGAGAAATTAGCAAAATACCTCTTTCAGCTGGGCCTGCAGATCCAGTATGGTGTTGTCTCTGGCCTGCCTTAGAGAATGGGGAACAGTGGAGGCCATGTGGTGGTCCCCAAATGCTAGAGCATCACCTGCCATCATGCCTGCTGGCAGCACAGCATTTGCGGGCACTGTGGTGGAGATGTTGGGGGTGCTGGCAGCAACAACGCCACTGCTGCTGCCCCTTGAACCATATGTCACCCTCTGTCTCCCCATGGTCGTCACTGTCCCACCACTTTTGGGGATGTGGTCACCTGTCATGGCAACCTCATTGTCACTCAGGTACATTGGTCCTGAGGTGGCATACGCAGCGTTGAGGGACTGGATGTTCTCCATGGAAAGCGTCTTGCCTCCTGCTCCTCCAGGACCCCCTCCACTGCCTCCAGTGCTGTTAGTGCGACGGTGTCCCATCCGAGGAGAACGGGGAAGGCGAGGGGAACGGCCAGATCCCTGATTGCCAGTAGTACCTCCATCTCTTCCTCCACTATGGTTGGCATCCCCTCTGCCAACAGAGCGGGCACTACCGTACATCTTCTGCTAAATAGTAGAACGAAGCTGACAGCAAAACTCAAGTTTCAACCTCAAATATCTGTATATATTCTTGCTGATTTTGTGGTTGTGACTTTCAACAATTGTGAGAATATGTGGTGGTGATGATGATGATGATGATTCAACAGGAGACACAAACCTATGATACAATAGGTCTGATACGCCCCACTTTCCTCTTCCAACAGGAGCTACCCACAGTTACAGATTATTATGACGCCAACCTGCAAAGAAAACACAGTCGTTCCCTATAAATTGCATAGCAATAGCATACCTATAGTGTTTTATTAGTCAACAAGATAACTGAATGTATGCAAAATTGACAAAAGTAGTATCAAAAACCAACAGAATCAGCATCATACTCTGGACAGCCAGTATCAATGTATGGTTTTTACCATGCAGTCTATAGGGTCCACGGGGAGGTCATTAAAGCAGGTTATATCCATCTCAAGCAAACAAAATGTGGGATAGTACATTTAATGTTCATTTCACATTTGTCACAGTGACAGTGAGTAAGGATGTCTGTACTTAACTGGATTCCCTTATGCAGTACATACAGTTATGTAACTGTATAAAAGTCATGACTAAGAACAAAAATCTTCTCATACCAGGACCCTCAGAACAAAGTCCTTGCTATTTAACGATTAACTTGAGGACACAGATGTGGAACGGTTTGGGAGCCACTGATTTTAGGTTTATCCTTAACAAAAGGTTCAGTTGTTACACCGTAACGGTATAACTGTTGGTAAGTCATAACCTTTCTGTGCGCCTTGTCGGACAATTTGACCCACAATTCTGGTGTCTAACCAGCAAGAGTTGGACTTCAAGCGGCTTTGTGGTCGGGCAATGTGTCCGACTAGTCTGGTTTGTGCTCTGTTTTTATATTTTCTTTCTAACATTTTCCACAACAGCCATTTAACTGGGCAGTCTGCGTGGCCTTGCTAGCAGCTAACGTTACGTTAACATACCGGCTAACAGTTGAGGCTGACATTTTCTAGCTTTTGACTACGTGTTATCTCTAAATTGTTGTCGTTTGCTTGAGACATGTGTAGACTGGTTTGCAGATTTTATAGTCGGCGGGATAAATCTCGAACCTTTTGAATCTTTTCCCCCTAATGTGCTGACGCTATGGATTAAAACTAGCAAAGGGGGGGGGGGGGGGGGGATTGTCCATGGTGGACATTGTAAAGGAAAAAATCTTCCTGCTTGTAAATGTAATGCACAAAATAAAATAATAAACTGCCATATACATAGCTACATATCTGACGTGAAAGGTTCATTAGATGCGGTGTCAAAATGTGTCACATTAAGCAAGAATTAAAGCATTTTGCACAATCCTAACGACACCGTAACTAACGTTACAGGGTCTGCTTTGGAGACACCCACATCAAACCATATCAATTTTCCTCCACCTCAAACTGAAAGGCTTTTCGTTTTAAACTACGGGTTTCTTCATTCAGAGGTTTGCATACCTAGCTAAAACATCAAATGCAAATACGTTTAACGTTAGCTCCCCGTGACATATGGAGTCTAACGTTAGTCCATCCAATTTATGTGGTCAAGTAAAACCTCAAATTTTCTCTCTCGCTAACACAATAGCCAGTGGTGAAAACCTCTCCAAACAAACTACCTTTCTCGTTGTCCGGTGGAGCTCAAATCGGTGCCATAACTGAATCCTCTGTCAGATGGAAATCGGCTGCAAAAACCGTCATTTTATGTTAATTACTCGATAGATGTCCACACGGTTTTTCCCATCTTTTTCGCCAGCAGTACCAGCGGCTCAGGAGAGCCAGGGCGCCTCAGTGACGTCAAGCCTCCTGTGCGCGTTCACGACAGTCTTCTTCGCCACGGTTGAATTTTAAACGCGCGGTCACGAGCTTAGGTTGGGGAGATAGTAGACAGAAATCAAACCTACCAACCAACACTGTAACAAAAAAAAAGAAAAAAGAAAAACATAGCTTTGAATAAATGTGATGGGATGTGTAAAAGGCCAAACTCTGGAGTGTTTCGAAATTCAGTAAGCGGGCACCGGTGGATGATAGTTTACAACAATTTAAAATATCCTCCTCTGATGTTAACAATGAAATATTAATTCGACTTTGTGAATATACTGTCTTCAGCAGTGAGCTTTTCATTATGTGTGAAATAGTATTAAAAGATACATTATAGCATGTTTAGTCAACAAATACCAGCAGGGGGCAGTGCTTACTTGGAAAACTGTATCTCCAAAATGGTTGCTGCAAACAATAAAATTCCCTACAAAATGTAATAAACAAAATTGATTGATGCATAATAGTATGCCGAGGTAATATATCAGCCTCTTATTATGACAGAATAAAATGTCTATTTTTCCCCCTAGTCATTTTTAGCGTGAAAGAAATTTGATCAAGAACAGCAGACCTCTAGGTTTATTAAGAATTTATCCATATGTTATGATATGTAACAAATATATTATATAAAAAATATTTACCAATTAAAATAAGTTTCCAATTTTAAATTTTTACAACAAACGTGCTGTAAAACAGTAAAAATCGAAGGCACTATTAAAAATCATAAATAAATAGGCCACAATATAATAAAACATGGCAAAGGCAGACTGAATACATTGTTTATTAAAAATCTTATAATTGGTTATTTTTGAGAGTATATCGAATATGTAAAGTCTTGCAGAAGGTAAACAGGTATATTCTTCTGAAAAAAAAGTCATTTGTGAATGAAAACATTCCCATTACAGTATAATTATTTTTGGGCTCTTTACATTCAAAATCAACTGTACTCACATTTTTGGGAAACAGCTTTAACTTATGTTAACAACGTTGTGAAATGACACCTAAAATCTGACCAAAATGTTGCAGTAAGATTACAAAAAATCAAAGAGAAGAGAAAAAGTAATTGATTAGCAACATTAGTGAAGCATCTAACAAAAACACAAGTTGAGTACTGCATGTTATGCAGTATTTATTCAAACATAATAATTATAATATAAGCTATTTTTTATTGTAAAGGACACGTTTTATCCCAACTACTAATTACATTAACATATGAGAGATCTTTCTCTTAATTTCGAGTATGCTTATCATAATAGCATTTAGAAAAACTGATATTTGACACAACCTATAAATGGTTTGTGGTTTAAATTCATATGGACCTTGACTGAGGGTATACATAAATCCATTGTAATAAGAAAATCAGATAAAAAATCGACGTTGCCATGAAGGCGATCCAAAGTGATATGTGTATTATGGTTATGATGTCATTCTTCGCTGGCGCAGGCGCTTTCGAAAAAACCCGTTTCTTCGTCAAGATGTGAGAATGTAGCAACTGCGCTGCTTGTTTGTCAGTAAGCCCACACATCGCAACTTTGATATTCACTAATTGGGTAATTAATCTGCCGGACACTTAGGGATAATGTACGCGTATTTCCATCTATATATATGCGAATAAGGATTAACAGTGTGGGGACAATTTCAACGTTGATGAACCTTCAGTTGTGTTGTGGATCCGATTTCGAGGTAGGTCGATTTATGCCAAACGGTGCCGCTCTACGGTCGCTACTTTGTGAAGAAGGGAGCTATGTTGCTAACTGTTAGCGCAACCGGGCTCACCAACGAGCAGCAGCAGCAGCAGCTAGCGTCATGTTATCAAGTAGAAACAAACGTTATATACAGTGTGTAATGATCGTCGTGTGAATCTAAAGTTAGTACTACTAATAAACGAAGATTTAGTGTTATTAACGCTGCAGATAAGGTTAAATTGAATCGGAACAGCCAGGAGGTGGGTCTAGCTCGTTAGGCCACCAGGAAGACCGCCTAGCTAATGTTGGTTAGCAGTGGCGCTGTCACTAACTGGTAGCTTTCCAACCGGCGTCACACCGGGCGAACGTATCCGGTGGGTTAGCACGGCGTGTAATGACATGGAAACGGTAAAGTTGTGAATATAGAGTAAACGCTTGTGTTAATTACCAACGGGTATAGTTACGTTAAACAACGACAGCACTAGCTAGCTATGTGAAATACATGTGAAGTTATTTTTAAAAAAAAAAGACGTGACGTGGAAATCAGCCATCGTTGGTTGTCGTCTCCCTGGTTAAGGATCAGCTAACTAGCTCTGTGCTAACGTTAGCTGTGCTCGTTAGCGAGCTAACAAAGAGCCGTTGCTCCTCCTTGCTTTGTATGCTCGATGTTGCCATTTCAAATGGTTGTGCTGTCACTTGTAAGACGGTGAAGAAATAGGTACGTAAGACACGGTTTACATTAATTAAAAGACTAATTTGATGAATAAGCACTGCCGTTTCTCTTATTTTTCCGGATGTTCTGCTGCTAACATTGCCAGATTTGGTTCTGACATTGTGGTAGCCTACGCTGGTAATGGATGCCACCATGGCCGGGTATAAATGACTAATAAGATATAAGGTTATCATTGCAAGCCTAAAGTATGGTACCGTTTACTCAGTCATACCAAATTGCACCGGTCTTTTGCATCTACAGTTTAAATGGTTGTAGGTTTATGGCGTTGTGCAGAAGTGATTTCAACAATGGATCTAATATTCGTTATTTAGACTAAATGTACAATGCGGTAACGTTATATGTGGTTTCTTGTTTATACTGGAGACTGAAGAATAATCAGCTGTCAACTGTGCTCTATTAGTTACTTCTAGTATTTAACAAATGTGAGGCATTGAGAGGTTTGTGTCATTCTGAAGGGCTTTGGAGTGCATTTGGGATTTATTTATTTTATACACTTAATATAGTAATTCTTAGTAATCAAATCAGTTGAATGGTATATTGATTGGATGCAGCTGAAAAACAGTAAAATCGCCGATTAGGACCTGCTGTGAAGCCGCTGTGAATGCAAGCATGTGCCCTACATTACATGTCTGTGGGCAAGAGGCAAATCTGATCAGAGTTGGGGAACCTTGAAGACAAATCTCTCCTTTTTATTAATCAAAAGTAAATCACAGAATGAGCTACTGACTCACTGTAGTACACTGAAATGTGCATGGTTGTCAACTTAAGTCTTAAGCTCTAGTTATGCGATGTCTGTCAGCTGTGCTTTTACAGAAAGAAGTGTTATTAAAATTTTATACTGTGAACACTTAAGCTGATGTCGTAAAGGTCTTGTTGGCATTTGACATAATGTTGGTTCTGTATATATGTCAAGCAGTTTTTGTTTTCTTTTTTCTCTTGCAGTGAAACTGGACCTGAGCATATTCAGAGTGTCTGACCATCCTGACATTGCCTACAGTAGGAAGTTCGGTGCCTGTTGTAGGCTGTACATGTTTGTTCCCGATCAGTGATTCCTTATGCCTGATAGAAGCTGCACCCTGTGTCTTACAGGATGGATGGTGTAGACTTAAAGAGACTTGTGTATCAACAACAGCACTCTGTGTTTTGCTGTGGTGTTCAATCTTTTACCATTTACAAGAGAACACCTCCCATCCCACACCTCCAGTCTCTGCACTATATATATAAGGATTGTCTTTGAGCAATAAAGACAGACAGAGATAGTTGTAAGACTTTCTGTCTTTTTTTCTTTTTGAAGCACAGATCAATACTGCTTATATAAGCCTATATGGTGGACATGGAAGTATCCTTATTTTAATTTTTCAGTTATTGTACCCCCTTACTCTTAGTGTGGGTGGTGGGATGTCGGAAAAGCCAGACGACAAAATGGTGAAGTTCCTGGCTCCCCCTCAGAAGAGTGGAAATGGCCCCAGTTCTGGTTCAGATTCGATGATGAGTGAATCCCGGCCAGCAGAAGTGAGACGCCGGCATCACACCATGGAACGTGATCGATGTAACCCTGAACACCGTTTCTTACGCCGCAGTGTCATCAGTGATTCCAATGCTACGGCATTGGCCCTCCCTTTACCCAGTAAGATCCCCATCCCCGCACCTCAACGAGTTCAGCCACGGGAAGCTGTCCATCAGCGGCAACAGGTTTCTGTTGCTGCTCATTTGCCACGGGCTAAATCAAGTTTAGCTCAAAATGAAGAGTCTGTTGATAGTGGAAGAGGAGGAGGTGGAGGAAAAGATATAGAAATAGCCAAGGTAGATGTAGTGCCTTCAGAGCAGGAGCCTGCCTTCGTACAAGATATCTGTGATAGAGAGGCGGTAGCCGCCTGCTCCGCACCAGACTTAGGATTGGAATTGCCAAGTCAAACGGAACCGGAAAGCACCACTGAGGTGAAGGTACACCATGAAGAAGAGGGGGAGGAAGACGATAAGGACTCTGCCAAGGCGCGAGCAGAAGCAGAGCAGAGAGAAGCCGAGAAAAAAGTGCAGGACGACATTGAAGAGGCAGAGACCAAAGCAGTGGGAACATCACCAGATGGGCGTTTCCTGAAGTTTGATATAGAAATTGGACGTGGCTCCTTCAAGACTGTCTACAAGGGCTTGGACACCGAGACCACAGTGGAGGTGGCTTGGTGTGAGCTGCAGGTATGAAACTGTTGTTCTTATTACTTACATTCCTTCACTGCTATTGCTATCAGTTATTAATGTAATTGATCTGTTGCAAGTGTCATCTCATTTTTGCTTTTACCATGCTTAACCATGGGGGAGTAAAGCAATTTTCTTTCAAACTGATACCTGAGCTACAGCCTCTGGCATTTCCCTTCTGAGACACATGGCTAGCATTTCCCTTTTGTTTCACATTGCATTTGTCAGCAAAGCATAACAAAAACTTCCCATTTCCCCATTTTACTTTTTTGGTGCAGCTCAATCCATACTGGTTGGCATGACTGAAAATAAGACTGAATGTCTGAAGTAAAAAGTGTGTACTTCTCCATAAGACATTGGCAAATTACCAGAAGTTATCACGGCTTGTATAATTAATGTTTTTATGACTAAGGGATACCTTTTACTTTAGACATTGGAAATTGCCTTGGACTAGATTCGAGTTAGATGTTGGTCATGATAATGATTTCCCATATTCAGTTTTCACACTAGCATTATATACTATTTCAAATAAATTATGATGACTGTCTTCCTGAGGTATGGAATAACCATACATTAAAAGATGTAACTGAGCAAATTCTGGTCAGCAAAAGCAGAAAATATATATATATATATATATATACACAGTGAGGAAAATAAGTATTTGAACACCCTGCTATTTTGCAAGTTCTCCCACTTAGAAATCATGGAGGGGTCTGAAATTGTCATCGTAGGTGCATGTCCACTGTGAGAGACATAATCTAAAAAAAAAATCCAGAAATCACAATGTATGATTTTTTAACTATTTATTTGTATGATACAGCTGCAAATAAGTATTTGAACACCTGTCTATCAGCTAGAATTCTGACTCTCAAAGACCTGTTAGTCTGCCTTCAAAATGTCCACCTCCACTCCATTTATTATCCTAAATTAGATGCACCTGTTTGAGGTCGTTAGCTGCATAAAGACACCTGTCCACCCCATACAATCAGTAAGAATCCAACTACTAACATGGTCAAGACCAAAGAGCTGTCCAAAGACACTAGAGACAAAATTGTACACCTCCGCAAGGCTGGAAAGGGCTACGGGGAAATTGCCAAGCAGCTTGGTGAAAAAAGGTCCACTGTTGGAGCAATCATTAGAAAATGGAAGAAGCTAAACATGACTGTCAATCTCCCTCGGACTGGGGCTCCATGCAAGATCTCACCTCGTGGGGTCTCAATGATCCTAAGAAAGGTGAGAAATCAGCCCAGAACTACACGGGAGGAGCTGGTCAATGACCTGAAAAGAGCTGGGACCGCCGTTTCCAAGGTTATTGTTGGTAATACACTAAGACGTCATGGTTTGAAATCATGCATGGCACGGAAGGTTCCCCTGCTTAAACCAGCACATGTCAAGGACCGTCTTCAGTTTGCCAATGACCATTTGGATGATCCAGAGGAGTCATGGGAGAAAGTCATGTTGTCAGATGAGATCAAAATAGAACTTTTTGGTTATAATTCCACTAACCGTGTTTGGAGGAAGAAGAATGATGAGTACCATCCCAAAAACACCATCCCTACTGTGAAGCATGGGGGTGGTAGCATCATGCTTTGGGGGTGTTTTTCTGCACATGGGACAGGGCGACTGCACTGTATTAAGGAGAGGATGACCGGGGCCATGTATTGCGAGATTTTGGGGAACAACCTCCTTCCCTCAGTTACAGCATTGAAGATGGGTCGAGGCTGGGTCTTCCAACATGACAATGACCCGAAGCACACAGCCAGGATAACCAAGGAGTGGCTCTGTAAGAAGCATATCAAGGTTCTGGCGTGGCCTAGCCAGTCTCCAGACCTAAACCCAATAGACTCTTTGGAGGGAGCTCGAACTCCGTGTTTCTCAGCGACAGCCCAGAAACCTGACTGATCTAGAGAAGATCTGTGTGGAGGAGTAGGCCAAAATCCCTCCTGCAGTGTGTGCAAACCTGGTGAAAAACTACAGGAAACGTTTGACCTCTGTAATTGCAAACAAAGGCTACTGTACCAAATATTAACATTGATTTTCTCAGGTGTTCAAATACTTATTTGCAGCTATATCATACAAATAAATAGTTAAAAATCATACGTTGTGATTTCTGGATTATTTTTTTTTAGATTCTCTCACAGTGGACATGCACCTACGATGACAATTTCAGACCCCTCCATGATTTCTAAGTGGGGGAACTTGCAAAATAGCAGGGTGTTCAAATACTTATTTTCCTCACTGTATGTATATGTGTGTATATATAATCTAAAATGTCATAAGTCAGGAAAACTCCATTAGTGGAAAATGCCATTGGAGTGATTTATAATAATTTATTTAATAAATATAATACATTTTATTATTAATTATTATAAATTCCAGAGCTACATGTGGCAACAGCAGAAATAATTTACTTGCACTTTAAAAGATTTCTTTGAGCCTTAATATATCTGACTGAATTATTGATCCTGTTTTGTTGTTATATCTAAATACTCTGCTTTTGTTTTAAAGTATCCATCATTTTGCTTTAACTATGCTGTAAACCAGTAGTTGGTGATATCCTTTAGAAATGCTTGTGAATAAATTGAAGCGCTGCTGTCCAGTTAAAGTAGCTACATTGCCCATAGCAAAGTTTGACCCCATTCACCTCCGTGAATGTTTTCTGTTACTGGCACGATTTCACCCTGCCATGAGAGGAGTAGGCCTCACACGGCAGCACATACAACTATCGCTACTCATGCACACTGGTTTCAGAACAATGTGAAGATTACAGACACGTGCCCCTCCCCCCTCACAGAGCGAATCCCACGCATGCTCAGTGCGTTCTTGCTCTGAATGCTTGTGTGAATGTAAAATGGGTCACATTCCTGACAGAGGAATCTCCTGTGTGAATTGCAGCAGGCTGGCCTGCCAAGGCCTGCTTCTAAACTATTAGTCCACCTCCCACCCTTTTAACTTCCTCACATTTTACCATATTTCTGTTTTCTAAAACCCATTTTAAGCACAATTAACTAAATATAACTAACCCTTATTACTTCTGTTAGTTAATATTATACTACGAGTCAGCACACGGTTACTTATTTTTATCTAAACTTAATTAATTAATAATATAAATAAGCTTTATTGTTACGCTATAACCGATCTTTGTTGTAGGCTATTAGGGCTGTATCACGTCTGTCTTGATAGGGAAAACAGAGTGTCAATAGACCTTTATGGATGTGTTATTACATCTCCTACAGGATATTTTTCCCACCACCAAATTATATTTTTTTGCGCTGCAGCTCAGTGCTGTAATCTGGGTAGAGAGAGATCTTTTTGTTGCCCAGATGAATGTCACCTTTCTATGTGAACCTTTTCCTTGTGGGTGAAGTTGAATTTTACGATTTTGCGTTGACCCATCTCAACCAAGACAGGGAAGTTGTTATAGCCCAGGAGCTTCAGCATAAGCTGATCCAGTTGTTTTCCATGTTGAAAACATGGATGTATAGAGAACTGTATACAGCATTTGAGACAGGGCTCTGTTAATTTCTATGACAGCTGCTCAGTGGCTCATGAAGCCAAAAAACCTTTAACGTGATCTTCCGCATTGTGCCGCCCCACAAGAGCAAGTGCATTAGTGTTTCTTTTAACCCCACCTCTCTGTCATGATGGTGGCCCGTAGAGCAGCTGCCGAGTGGCTAACTTCTGGTTTAGACCTGTTAACTTGAATGGGGATGATAAAATTATTTAATCTTCTAGACTTTGTAAATGTTATCAGACCTACCAGATCAAATTCTCATTGTAAAACGAATCATTTCACAAGGGCTGTGACGCTCAAAATAACTAATCTACTGTTGGCTCTTTCAAGTCTACGGGAAATTCTTTTGCTGCCAGTGTGTATAACGTGATGGACCCAGAAGTTGTAATTCTGCGGTTTGGTCGCTATGTGTCTTCAAAGCACAGTGCACTTCCTGGGGGCTTGGTTGGAAACATGAACATATTGGTTGTGGCAGTTTCTTGCCGTCCCCTGGGGTTGGCTTGTCAATACCACAGTTTTGCAATATTGCTGTTATCACGACAGCCCTAGGCAAGATGCTGTATTATATTTGAGGGAGATGTGAGGTGGGCGGTGCTCTATAATGCTCTTGATAGATTAGTATTAGGGCTGTAGCTAATGATAAATACAAGTTACAAGAACCAGTTGACTAAAGAGATTAATGATTTCCTGTTGATCGAGTAAATCACTGATTTACTGATCATTGGGGCACTAATCCATATGTTAGCGGACAGAAAAGCATTCTTCTTGTCTCCTTTGACTTCCTGAAGAGTTTGACAAGGCAGTGTGGTTTGTAGAAAATGAATAGAGTGGTGTAACTGCCTCTCCGAGGCACACCTAAACTTGGTGTAGATCTAGCCAGGTCTTTGCCAGTTGCCACTTGTATCGGGAGACCAATTCTGTGCAAAGAGAGAGGTGACTTATAGACATTTTTACAGTTGAATGAGAACAAGGTTTGTTTTATGCACATGTCGTCTGTTCCAAAATATGAACATGTAACCTGATTTCTCTCATTCCCCTTCGTTCCTCTGTCAACTCAAGAGTTTCAGTGCTAGAAACTGTTCAGTTACACATGACAAGCTTAAATCCCCTCTCACGTGGTTGTGAAAGCTATCCCATGATCATACAAGTGCTAGTGTTTTCCCATGCATCCCAAGGGCATATTTAGTGGAATGTAATGTTAACATACATTATTTTCCGTATGCTCTTTCAGTTTCAATTGTATAGTGTCTTTTCAAACATTCGTATAATTAGTAATTTCCTATAAGAACTTTTGAATGTAATAGTAACGTAATAGTATACCACTTTCTACTTTGGTTACATGAAAAAATGCAATATTTTCCTAAAAAGCAAACAAATTCCATCAGAAATAGTTTGCAAAAGGAGTAGGGACATATCCATTTAAAGTGCTTATTGTTTTGTTTCCTGTTCCTGGTGCACGAATCAGTGATGCAAAATGTAATCAGCC